CAAGACAAAGCCAAAGATCCCCCGCGTAGCCTTAGCAGACTGTTGGGGCAAGGTGCTGTTAGCGAGCAGCACCTATGAAGGGCGGCATGGCAGACAACGGGGTGGGTGGCCAGCACCACGCCCGGCCGCCTTTGTCTCCCCAGTCGCGATGTTTACTCCGTGCCAGGAACTCATTTGAGGCCGAGTCAACCTAGGGGAGGCCCGTGACCGGTTCAAATATTCGTAAAGCGGGAATCGAACTCGGGACACCGGGTTGGTAGCGCAGCGCGCCAAGTGCGACACTGACCCTCCCCGTGGCCAATGTACACGCACGCACGCACAAACTCTAACCTCCACTTTCAAGTCAATGTTAAAGACAATCCCCCACCACTCCTTGCGTCTATGCCTGGCAACGTTCTTCTCTCAGCATCGTACCCCAGAACTCTCACATCTCTCCGGGCTCAACAGAGGTGCTTGGGACACAGGCTTGCATCGAGACGCTTTGCTTTGTGTGTAAATTAAAAGGCTGCGTTGCATTCAACGGGCTCCCTCGCAGGAGAGGTACGGCCCCTTCACCCCCCACGGGCTCCTCACCTGATGCTAAATAAAGCGGCAAAGCCACCTGAGCGTTCACTCGGAGCCACCGCACAAGGTCCCCACCCCCCTCCCCCGGCTCATTCTGAGATCACGGCGCATGCCAGTCCACTGCTGCACAGTTCAACGGTTCCACCGTTCCGCTAATCCACCGTTCCGTTAATCCACCGTTCTGCGATTGCACCGTTCTATTATTCCACTTTTCCACGATTTCACGGAACAGAAACCCCACAAGGCATCATCATCACACACACCCAGGGACCCACGTGTAAATCAACCCACAGCCACGCAGCGGCCCGCAGACGCACGCGAACGTGCACAGACACGCACAAGCAAAGACATGCACACACGCGCGTGCACGTACAGATACGCGTGCACGCAGAGATAAGCACGCATACACAAAGGCACGCACACACACACACGTTGACGCTCAAGAGATACTGGCACGTAGACTCGCACACATGCACACACGCACACGCACACACGCACACGCACACAGGGAGACATGCACACACGCACACACGCACAGCACAGGCGCACACAAAGACAATCGGAGACAAAGGTCCCCTAGTACAGCCTTAACAGACTGTTGGGGCAAATGCTGTCAGCAATCACCGATTAAGGTCGGCACCATCCCCGGCCGCCTTTGTCTCCCCAGTGGGGACGTTCAGACACCACACCAGAAGTCGTTCATGGCTGAACTCACTCGCCACCAATGTTGTGCCGAGGCCATGAAATAAAACTCACCAGGTGTACCACCGCTCGTACCACCACTCACCACCACCACCCCACCACCATTCACCGCACCGCCTCTGCAACTAGCGCTCAGCAGAGCACCAGCTCATCATCATTATCCACGCCGCCCATCAGCAGCAATCACACAGACACCATCCTTACATCCACTCAATAAGTCTCCCACAGCCATCATCACTCGCGCGCTCGCACACACGCCGCCCGCGCAGCGCCCATCGATTCTCATCACCAATCCCATCGATTGTCTCAATTCGAGGGTTGCGACTTAGCGCAATCATCGTTGTTTTTTTCGTCTCGTTTTTATCTGTCTCGTTTGTATTGCTTCTCGATTTGCAACTCGGGTGCCTTCGATTTGTGGCGTTTAAACTATAAAACTACGTTGTATTTTACCAGGTAAGGCCCTACTGAGCTGTGTAGCTCTTTTTGCAGAAGCGATCTGGCAATCACAAACGACAGCTCATCATCACGTGGAAATCTCTAGCAGCCAAATACTCTTCAACGCGTGATGTTGATTCTAAATGTGGAGGGCAAAAAAACCGGAGGACCCGGAAAAATATCAACGCGACTACGGGGAGAGAGAGACACGCAAACTCCAAATATACAGCAGGTGTCGGGGTCAGGATCGAACCCACGACCTCTTGTATACCAGGCGAGGTAGTTAACATCTCCTAGCCACCGTAATGATGATGATGATGATGAGATAGAAATGCAAACTCCACATATACAGCAGGCGTCAGGGTCGGGATCAAACCCACGACCTCCTGTATACCAGGCGAGGTAGTTAACATCTCCTAGCCACCGTAATGATGATGATGATGAGATAGAAATGCAAACTCCACACATACAGCAGGCGTCAGGGTCAGGATCAAACCCACGACCTCCTGTATACCAGGCGAGGTAGTTAACATCTCACCACCATGTATGTTCTCTCCCCTGTTCTGTCTCCATGGTTTTCCTCCGGGACCCAGCGGTTTCCTCCCAGAGCTATATATGCATATAAAAAACAGATACAGTGTAACTGGTACTTGCCAAAATATCCCAGTGCTGCAGAATTGCGTGCAGGTTACTCAGTTGGGATCACGCACAACATCATCCGCCCCCTTTGCCTAGCGCAAAAACTACTTGGCAGGACCCTCCCTCGAAAATGTATTGAGACTCAGCGAGGCTTTCCCGGGTACGCGAGTGTAGTAATCATGATGATAAATAATAATAACAACATCACGGCCCCTTGCTATAGGGGAGATCTGGGTTAAAAGCAAGTACGGCAAAACTAAACGTGTAACGAAAAAAAGCAAACGAGAGGCAAAAGAGGAAACAACGCAATTGGACATCATTGGCATCCCCAACGCAGCGGTGGCAATTTTCAGTCAAATTTGAAGGGGGTAAAAATAACAATGCAGGCGTGTCGAATTCCCCTTGGCTGTCAGCGCCGGCGACAAAACGCAAAACCGCTCCTTGAGATTTTGTGTCGAGCTAAGGGGGTCACGCACGGTACGAGTTTACGGTCCGGGGATGGGAGAAGATTAGGGTTTGGTGACGGGCGGGTTTGGGTTAAAGTTAAGGGTTTATAGTCACGAAGATATGGATTACGTGGATTATGGGTTAAGGGTTTAGGATTATGGTGGAGGGTTATGGATTTGGGGTATATGGTTTAGGGTATTTTCAGAGGGGCGCCACGTTTGCCGATGAGACGTCACCAGTGAGAGGGCCGCCACACATTTTAAATCGTTTTACAGAAGCACGATGATGATGATGGTGTTCTCACCATTCGTGTTTTGTCGGGGGCGGCCGCACATCAGAGGCCGCACTAAAGACCACCAGAGGGCCGCCAGTGGCCCACGAGGCCTTCCGATAAAGAACACTGGTTTACGATAAGCGTTTAGGGTTGGGGATCAGAATCAGGGTTTAGGGTTTAGGATTAGGGTTCGGGGTTATGAACCAAGGGGACGGTAGTATCTTAGACCGCAATTCTCGCCACGCATCTGCAGGAACTGCATATCACTTGGCCTTGTGCATTCTCTCTCCATCCATGATGCGGGGAGGGCGGGGGGAGTGAATACGACTGTGGTGAAGATCGTCCAGTATGAACCAAGCAGTCGTATCAAGCCGTGTTGCCATTACGGCATTACCATATTAAACAAGAAAAACGGCCAATTTTTTTTTAAAGACAAATGTTCATAAACTTGGGAGACCCAATCTTGATTTTAAGCTTTCGTGACTTTCGGTAAAGTCACGTACATAGAAAATTAATATAAGTAATCGTCATCAGGTGAGACAAACACAGCAGGAGAACTGCTGACGTTGGGAGACCCAACCCAGCGCAGAATGGGACGATGACTGCATTTGCCAGCTTCAGGTCGTACGAATCCAATACCTCAGTGGGATTTGCCTGGGTAGGATGGGGATGGTGTAGTGTTGTATTTGTTTGTGTTTGGGTGATTTGTTTATCTAGTACTTTGCACTACCGTCGTGTTTTGTGTACCGTTTGTTGGTGTGACGTTCTTACCACGTGCCCCTGCCGGACATCTGTGAAAAAGAGCTTTATAGCTCTTTGGATTCCACCAGCATCAATAAATATTCTGATTATTAAAAAATAATACCGGGTTTTACCCTTTCTGGCAAAAAAACAGGATGGGTCAAGATGCTCAAACACCAAATGGAAACCTTTTGCCAAGGAATCACATCACAGACTCTGATTCTGAAATACGGGGCTTGCGAGGACAAGACTGAGACCACCCGTTACAGAATCCATCCATGCGTGATGTTGTTGTTGTTGCTGTTGTTCAACCTCAGCGTTTGTTGCGCTACTGCTGCTGCTTGGGATGCCCGTCTCTAATTTAAACAACAGTTTAGTTCGTCAAGTACGCAAGATAACCCCCACAGCAGCAGTAGCAACAACCACAGCAACAAAACCACCGTTCAACATTCAGCGGCGGTGACCTCGCCACGGCGCTCGTGCCAGGCCAGGTGCACATTTGCGGCCACGTGAGGCTGACCATGGCTCGCTGCTGGCAGGAGGTCACGGAACAGACCCAGCAGGAGCCCGTGGGTTGACGCCCGCTGTCACCGGCTGTCGGGGCAAGCGCTGTGAGCGAGTAGCGGCACCACCTATGAAGGCTACGGGCACTGTGGCACACGAGGGGGATGTGGGTGACCGGCACCACGCCCGGCCGCCTTTGTCTCGCACCAGGGTACTCATTTGAGGCCTAGTCGACCTAGGGGGGAGGCCCAGGACGAGATTCAGAAAATCATCACCGTGTTGGCCACGAGCGGGAATCGAACCCGGGTCTCCGGGGTTGATAGCGCAGCACCGCGCTAACCGCTGCACCACCACTCCCCACAACTGTACCAAAGATCCCCTGTATAGCCTTAACAGACTGTAGGGGCAAGTGCGGTTAGCGAGCACCTATTAAGGCCGGAACGGTACACGAGGGGGTGGGTGGCTAGCACCACGCCCGACCGCCTTTGTCTCCCTAGCGGCGATGTTTACACACCGCACCAGGTACTCATTTGAGGCCGAGTCGACCTAGGCGAGGCCCAGGACCGGTTCAGACAATCGTCACTGGTGTTAGCCGTGAGCGGGAATCGAACCCGAGTCGCCAGGTTCGTAGCGCAGCGCGCTGACCGCTACACCACCACCCGACACCCGTGACCCCCACAGAGCGAGAAGTTACCAGCCAGGCTGATGTAGCAGTCGATCTCAATCGCCTCCACTCGCGACCTCTGCTCTCCACTCAGCTTCCCGGCACCACCACCACCACCGCCACCGCCACCGCCTCCACCGTGTCCCACCACTCCCGCACCGTCACCGTCGGCCCCCACCTCCTTGAGCTGCAGCAGTGCGCGATGGTACTTGCCGATGGCCTCGCGGAATTTCTTCTCCTTGTAGCACTGGTGGCCCTCGCACGCGAAGCCGCTCGCCCGGCACATGCGCGCCTCTACCTCCACACCGGTCGACGCGTGCCCGAGGCCACCGGTCGGTGCGCTTCGGCCGCTGCCTCCTCCTCCTCCTCCTCCCGGCGCCGCGAGTCGAGCCGAGGTCGGTTCGGTGCCGATGCCGGGCGGAGGAGGAGGGGGCGGTGCGGCCGCTGTGGCCGTGGTCGCCGTCTGGTGGCCCCCCACGGGGTGGGCCCGGCCGAGGGGACCGCGGCGTTCGGCCGGCACGGGGCAGAGGCCCCGCGGAGGAGGCGGAGGGTCCATGGGGCGGTGACCCCGGGCGATGGGGCCCCGCGGGGTGCCGTGCGTTCCCCCACTCCCGCTGCGACTCCCCGAGCCTCCTCCTGCTCCTCCTCCTCCACCACTGTCAGCCCCCAGCGCCTCGCGTCTACCTCTCGCGATCACTGCGGCTCGCAACGACTCACCCCCTGCCTCACCAAGTGTCCACCCCCACTCTCCCCCTACTCCTCGTCCTCCTCCTCCTCGTGTGTCTCTCTCTCTCGCTTCGCTCAGCTCCCTCGACCTGTCCCCCCTCGCCCCCCCCCCGAACTTTCCCCTCCTTGCCCCCCTTACTCACTCCCCCTCGATCTCAGGTGCCCCCCACCACCCCGCTCCTCCCTACCCCTGCCTCACCCCCTAGCCCCCTCCACCCTCCTGTCTCCCCCTACCCCCTCGCCCCTATCCCCTCGCCCCCTCCTGTCTCCCCCTATCCCCTCGCCCCCTCCTGTCTCCCCCTACCCCCTCGCCCCCTATCCCCTCGCCCCCTCCTGTCTCTCCCTATCCCCTCGCCCCCTCCTGTCTCCCCCTATCCCCTCGCCCCCTCCTGTCTCCCCCTATCCCCTCGCCCCCTCCTGTCTCCCCCTATCCCCTCGCCCCTCCTGTCTCCCCCTACCCCCTATCCCCTCGCCCCCTCCTGTCTCCCCCTATCCCCTCGCCCCCTCCTGTCTCCCCCTATCCCCTCGCCCCCTATCCCCTCGCCCCCTCCTGTCTCCCCTACCCCCTCGCCCCCTCCTGTCTCCCCCTATCCCCTCGCCCCCTATCCCCTCGCCCCCCCTCCTGTCTCCCCCTATCCCCTCGCCCCCTATCCCCTCGCCCCCTATCCCCTCGCCCCCTATCCCCTCGCCCCCTATCCCCTCGCCCCCTCCTGTCTCCCCCTACCCCCTCGCCCCCGTGTCTCTTCCACCGTTTCACACCCAACGTAGCTTCCCCGTCTCACCCCCCCCACCCACCACCACCACCACCACGCTCGCTCCCCGACCTCGTCCACCTGTCTACCCCACCTCTTCTCACGCAGGCCAACCTCGCCCGAGCAAGGCCCAACGCGACCATCGCCCGGTCCCAACCGAGGCGCTCCGCGACCACCAGAACGCACCCAGCGCCTCCCACCACCGCGGCACGAACCACAACCACCACCACCACCACCACCCAGCACCCAGCACCACCACCAGCAGCAGTAGACGCGGGTGAGGGCTCCGTCCACACGGCTGCTGTGGTTCAGAGTGAACGCAGACGTCTCGAGGAGCCACCACCACAGCGGCGGGCGGCGTCCACTCTCAACGCGTGCGGCCTCGTGGGTGGAGCCTCCACCACCACTTCCGGTACACCCCCCTCGACTTCCGGTCGCACCCCCCCACGCACACACCCCACCCCCAATCTAGCACCCCCCCCCTTCCACTCCCCCCACCCACCCCCACTCCATGCACTCCCCCCCCACCCACTCCCACTCCTTGCACCCCCACCCACCCCCACTCCATGCACTCCCCCCCCACCCACACCCCACTCCATGCACTCCCCCCCACCCACCCCCACTCCATGCACTCCCCCCCACCCACTCCCACTCCTTGCACCCCCCCCCACCCACTCCCACTCCTTGCACTCCCCCCACCCACCCCCACTCCTTGCACTCCCCCCCACCCACCCCCACTCCATGCACTCCCCCCCACCCACTCCCACTCCTTGCACCCCCCCCCCCACCCACCCCCACTCCATGCACTCCCCCCCCACCCACCCCCACTCCATGGCACTCCCCCCCCACCCACCCCCACTCCATGCACTCCCCCCCCACCCACCCCACTCCATGCACTCCCCCCCACCCACTCCCACTCCTTGCACCCCCCCCCACCCACTCCCACTCCTTGCACTCCCCCCCACCCACCCCCACTCCATGCACTCCCCCCCCACCCACCCCCACTCCATGCACTCCCCCCCACCCACCCCCACTCATGCACTCCCCCCCACCCACTCCCACTCCTTGCACCCCCCCCCACCCACTCCCACTCCTTGCACTCCCCCCCACCCACCCCCACTCCATGCACTCCCCCCCACCCACTCCCACTCCTTGCCCAACCCCCCCCCACCCACTCCCACTCCTTGCACCTCCCCCCCACCCACCCCCACTCCATGCACTCCCCCCCACCCCGCCCCCCCCTCCATGCACTCCCCCCCACCACATCCCACTCCTTGCACCCCCCCCACCCACCCCCACTCCATGCACTCCCCCCCACCCACCCCCACTCCATGCACTCCCCCCAGCCCACCCCCACTGCCATGCACTCCCCCCCACCCACCCCCACTCCATGCACCCCCCCCCACCCACCCCCACTCCATGCACTCCCCCCCCACCCACCCCCACTCCATGCACTCCCCCCCACCCACCCCACTCCATGCACCCCCCCCACCCACCCCCACTCCATGCACTCCCCCCCACCCACCCCCACTCCTGCACTCCCCCCCACCCACTCCCACTCCTTGCACCCCCCCCCACCCCACTCCCACTCCTTGCACTCCCCCCCCACCCACCCCCACTCCATGCACTCCCCCCCACCCACCCCACTCCTTGCACCCCCCCCCACCCACTCCACTCCTTGCACTCCCCCCCACCCACCCCCCCTCCTGCCTCCCCCCCCCCCCCCCCACTCCATGCACTCCCCCCCACCCCTCCACTCCTTGCACCCCCCCCCCCGCACCCCCCCCATGCACTCCCCCCCCCACGCCCCCACTCATGCACTCCCCCCCCCCCGCCCCCACTCCATCACTCCCCCCCACCCCCCCCACTCCATGCACTCCCCCCCACCCCCCCCACTCCATGCACTCCCCCATCCCCCCCCTCCCCACCCACCCCCACCCTCCCCCACCCCACCCTCCTTCCCCTCACACTCCCACCCCCCCACTCACTCCCCCCCGCACCCCCCCCCACCCCCCCCGCACCCCCCCCGCACCCCCCCCCCCCGCACCCCCCCCGTACAACCCCCCCCACTCCTCCACCAGCCCCCCCCCCCCTGAGCCGGAAGCACTTTCCCCATTTGAATTGGTAGCTCGCTTAAGCGCGGCTTAAAGGAGGCTTCTCTGTGGGAAGCGACGGGGCCAGAGGGAAGACCCCCGCGGCATTCGTTGCTTATCCGTGTTAGGAAATGCAATACAACGTTGTGGGACTACCATCAGAGTCTTTATTTGTACTCGAGAAAGCCGATGAGGGGCCGTCCATAAATGACGTCACGCGATTTTGGACGAGTTTTGACCCCCCCCCCCCTCGTCACACGGCGTCACGGAAAGTCAGACCCCCCCTCCTCAAATATGACGTCACAAAGCTCTGCCCCCCCCCCCAAAAAAATAAAACATGCTTCAAATCGCTTTAAACTATTGTCATTGTAGTGCGTATTTAATGTGGCGCTGCACTCTGATGTTGTAGGAGAAAACATTTATTAAAAAGTCTATTTAACTAAGTAGAACGTGTTGTCTATATTTATTTAAAGTTGCGCATTTTGATGTGACGTCACATTTCTCACCCCCCCCCCCTCGTCACACATCGTCACAAATGTCTGACCCCCCCCCCCCCCCAGGTGCGTGACGTCATTTATCGACGGCCCCTGAGCATTGAAGCTCTTTAATTAATTTTTTTAACAGATGTCCGGGAGGGGCTGGTCAGAAAGTTACATGGCAGGAATATCAATTTTATTTTATTTCATACCTACGTGACTTTACCGAAAGAACTAAAGAGTATGAATATAAATGTTGTGTCGTTAACCTGCCACCACCCGACACGTACCTGTCAACCCCTTATCAGTGCCCCCAACCTTGTTACAGACAAACTCAGACCCTATTGGTCACCCCGTGGTCCCTTATACATCTCAACGTTCATCCTTGCAAAGTTCCCATCACAAGGGAGAAACACAAACAAATAGAGAGGTCTTCTTGGTTCTTTCGGTAAAGTCACGTAGAAGGGAAATAATAAAATAAATTAAACATAATAAAATATGTTTCTTTTATGAACGTTGAGATGTATAAGGGACTACGGGGTGACCAATAAAGTCTATTTTATAATGTAAAATTTTTATTATTGTATTACTTCCCTTCTACGTGACTTTACCGAAAGAACCAAGAAGATGAATCTCTGCAGTCACGAAAGCTTTAAATCGAAAAATAGAGAGATTTGTTTTAAAAAAATTGCCCACATTGAAACGGCTGTAGGCCGTATGGCCCTGAAAACTCAACATCCCTGCACAAGGGTACGTCGTGAACCGTCTGGGTTGTCAGCCACGTGCGACACGGCCAATGATGAGGTTCGTCACTTCAAGCACATGGCCCTGAGAACGACTGTATCAGGGCGCTTTACACATCCACGTCATTCTCAAGGTTAAAACCCACAACATTTACAATTTGAGTCCGACGTTTCGATGGTGATTACAAACAGCTTCGTCAGGCCATTTCTGTTATTGTTGTTGTTGCCAAAATCGTGAAGAAGTCTTCCGTGTCCCCGGTGTTAAACAGATAAGAGTAAAGGTGATGTCATCATTACCGTGAGCCGATCAGGTGCCAAGATCAGAGTGGCGGTGGATGTAGTCATGTAATGTGTAGTGTAGTGTATAGTGTAGTGTATAGTGTAGTGTGTAGTGTAGTGTGTAGTGTAGTGTATAGTGTAGTGTGTAGTGTTGTAGTGTATAGTGTAGTGTATAGTGTTGTAGTGTATAGTGTTGTAGTGTATAGTGTTGTAGTGTATAGTGTAGTGTATAGTGTTGTAGTGTATAGTGTAGTGTATAGTGTAGTGTATAGTGTAGTGTACTAGTACAGCACTAACCGGTTGTGAGTCGGAGAGAAATTCCACAACATTGACAATCTGTGCACGACGTTTCGCCAGTAATTACAACAACCGGCGTCATTCATGCAATTGCATCCCACAACGCTGCACACTCAGAACGGGTTATGTTCGTATGACACTACGTAGTGACATATGACCGCTTACGGATTGGTCACAGTTAATCAACGCACGATGGATTGTGTTAAATTGAGAAAATGCAGTGACATATTAAACCTCGCCCCCACCCTGACCTTTGCACCCGACTGCCTCACAAGTGGGGACATCTCAGTTATCCGAGGCCGTGTATCTTTAAGACCGAAACAGCAGGGGATGTCTCCACAACGGTCTGGCTGTCGCCGGATGCTGCTGCTGCTGCTCGTTATTGTTGTAATTTACCGGCGGCGAAACGTCTCGGCTACTCGAATTGTTAAATTGTTGTCGTGGGTTTACTCTGCAACACACAGCCGTTTGGTGTTTGCCACTTCTTGAAAGGACCAACATTTAAATTTCGATTTAAAGCTTTCGTGACTGCAGGGATTCATCTTCTTGGTTCTTTCGGTAAAGTCACGTAGAAGGGAAGTAATACAATAATAAAAATAAAACATAATAAAACAATTCTCACGACGTTTCGGCCACAACGCAAGCAGCCGTCCTCAGGTGAAAACCAGGTCCGTCGAGGCGACAGAGTCTGAATGAAACAGCACACGAGCTTGGAGCATATATATAAGCTGGGCGCATTGACAAAGGAATTTGCATATCAAAAGGAATTTAGCATATTTATGGGAAGATGGATTCTGGCTTAGCAATCATTGGAAGGACGTAATAAACCATTTCGGATCTTAACTGATTGTGTTCACGTTTACGGTGACTTTCAGACCGCGTTCCACTCACTGGCATGGTGCAGTGTGCAGAGTAATGTATGGTGTCGTAATTGTATAGTAAACATATAGCAGTGTGATACACATTAGGGTGGGTAGAATAATACATAGTGTTATATTAAAATGGATAAGGCAGCAACTGCAGCAGCAGCAGCAAGTGCAGCAGCAGCAGCAACTGCAGCAGCAGCAGCAACTGCAGCAGCAGCAACTGCAGCAGCAGCAGCAACTGCAGCAGCAGTAACTGCAGATCCCTTTGATGCTGTTAATCCTGCATAATGCACATGCATATGCAGTACTAATCTCATTCCTGCATTTCCCATAAATATGCTAAATTCCTTTTGATATGCAAATTCCTTTGTCAATGCGCCCAGCTTATATATATGCTCCAAGCTCGTGTGCTGTTTCATTCAGACTCTGTCGCCTCGACGGACCTGGTTTTCACCTGAGGACGGCTGCTTGCGTTGTGGCCGAAACGTCGTGAGAATTGTTTTATTATGTTTTATTTTTATTATTTTATTACTTCCCTTCTACGTGACTTTACCGAAAGAACCAAGAAGATGGACCAATATTTAAACGAACTTATTTCGGACAAAGGGGCTTCGTGTCCTGTGAAGGTCTCAAGTTCCATATCACTTATTTCTATATTTTCTGGGCGTGAGTATGAAAGGCTCCCTTCCTAGACCATAACTCTGCTGATAGGAAGCAAAGCCCTGTCCTAATGAGCCCAACACACATATGTAGCGTGAAAGTGGGCCACGTAAAAACACCGGTGATGAACAATTATACATCTAATGTTAATTACGCGTTAACGTAAGGGGGTGTCGGGGAGGGGTGGAGAGTGGAGGGGCGGTGTGGAGGGTCCGGGTGGAAAATGGGGGAGGGATGGGGCTCGGGTGGTGGACGGGGGGGGGAGGTGGGGGAGCGGTGGTGAAGAAAGATGAAGGTTGGGGGAAGGATTGAGGGGAGGGGAATGGGGGAGGGTTGGGGGGGGTGAAGGGTGATAGTGGGGGGGGGGTACACAGTCGATTCACTTCTTGCGTGGCCCGGCCTCTCTTCTCTGACTGCTGCCACGTGGTGCTAATTGCTCGGCTTGCGAGTGTTTGTAACCGCGGCTAATAATTGCATCGCTTCCCCCCCCCCTCCACACGATTTTCTCCCACGTCGCTTTGCCCAGGCCCACTCCTCGCCGCAGCGCCACGCGGGGACCGCTCGAGTTGATGTGCGACTCCAATCGGGTGCCACTCATCCGCGTTGAGACGCCGTCTCTCTGCGGCAGGGTTGTGGTTATCCTCTCCCCTTGGTTTGGTTGCTGTGTTACCCCTCCCCCCCTCCCTCCTTCGTTGAATTTTGTTTCAACCGAGAAACCCCCCCCCCCCCCCGCCCGCACCCCTTGCCTGACCTAACATGGTTGTGAGAAACACATTCCTGCGGAGGGAACTGCTGGTAGGAACGTTGGGTTGCTCGGTCAATGGCCAGGGTCAACGGCGGCGTGGTGTATTCCGCAAATATGCCCGACTGTGAGGGCGGGCACAAGCCGGCGTGAGTAGGTTAAACGTTGAGTTTTATAAGGGACTTTTGAGTTTTAAACCCTGGTGTGCATGGTCGATGTCCTCCACGTGCTCCCGTTTTCTCCCATAAGCAAAATACTCATTAATGGAATTGGCCAAACATCCCAATGCAGGATCCTCCTGTAAGCAAGTCTTGAGACTCACTCAGGCTTTCGTGGTGTACACTGCACTGTGAACTCAACTACCTGAGTTCGGTTGCCAGCGACGACTCACATCAGCGACGAGTGAAAGATAAAAAAAAGTTCTGGGACCTCTCTCTCGGTGAAGTATGGTCAAACAACTCCCAAGACTGACACGGCATGGACAGGCTGTAAACAATTATATCATCAAGGCCCCCCCCCCCTGACTCCTCCCACGCTTCTCGTTCGACGACGGCGGCGTTCGCCCTCGAGCCGTCGCTGTCCAAGGTGCTGAGTCTCCCAGCGCCCTTGGCACGGCAGCAGCGCCGCCTGCTGTCACCCTATCGCAAGGTGACCCCTCCAGCCGCGACAATCCGTGGCGCGGTTACATTTCTAGATTTGAAGCTTTCGTGACTGCAAGGATTCATACTCTTAGGTTTTTTTCGGTAAAGTCACGTAGGTAAAAAAATTAAATTTAATTAATAAAAGTAATCATGGAAATAAAATAATAAATCACAACGTTTCGGAGGAAACACAAGTCTCCGTCATCAGGTGGGACCGTCACAGCCAGATTAACTGTATGAAGTGAGGCAAAACATTTCAAGATACAAGTTCATAAATACAAGTTAAGGGAGGGGAGGAGGGGGGGAGGAGCTTATCTGAGTGTGGTAGCCAATGAATGGAACGTATTGGGGGGGGGGGGGCTAAAAGAGAACAACAGGTCACATGCTAAAGGTGCACATGATGCTAGAAGAGAACGACAATGCACATGATGTTTTACACAGTGTTGGTGGCCATCCAAATACAAAACAGGAGAGTGCTGTTAAACGCTGGGGATGTTAACACTCGGTAAAGTAGAATAGTACCTGTCAAATAAGATGGTCCAAAAATGTGTAGTTAAATCTTTTTTGCATGGTTAATAACATCTTTCCAATGATTACTCAGTTTGTACCCATCATCACGGTTGAAATTATGTCTGTGTTTGCGGTTACATTTGTCATCGTCATCAGCCATGGTCAATCCACTGCTGGGTTATAGGAGGGTGGCTTTATTTATTCCCAAACACACGTTGATAAAGGGTTTACATTACGTCTGCCTATCCTCTCTGACTCCCTTGGTCCCTTTGGTCCCTCTGTAATTCTCAGCAGATCATCGCAGAGTGTGTCAATCACTGCGCCACCGCTCACCCTCCCTCCCCTCCCCCCTATGCAACACGTCCGTGAACAACATTGGATCAAGCCATCATCAATCCACTGCTGGATATCATCGTTTTAATCACCGGCCATAATCAATGTGCTGCTGGATAAAAGGTTTGCCCAAGGTCACTCGCCAATATCAACCGTCAAATCGATATCCGAGTTTGTTCCCTAACCCACCGTGTTCCTCTTGCCCCTCCGTGTAGTGCGCTAACCACCATGCCACCGCTCCCCCATTGTTTTTTTTTGTGTAACCGTGTACAGTAAGTACTGTGCATGGTAAATGCACCATCACACCCGGCGACACACGCCCGTGGGACGCAGCGACGCAGCCTGGCCTCGCTGAGTATTGCACCCAGGCGCAACCTCAAGGAACGGTGGCGAAAAATTACGCTCGGCCGGCTTTGTCTCCCCAGTGCCGATGTGTGTTTTTTTTTTTACACACCGCACGAGGTACTCGTTTAAGGCCGAGTCGACTTAGGGGAGGGTCCCACGACATTTCGTCGAATTTGGCTCGCCGGGTTCCCTAACAGCGTGCTAACCGCTGCACCACCGCTCCCCCGTCATCCACATATATATACACAGACACACAGCCGCACACAGTCACACGCAGAAGTCACACGCAGAAGTCACACACGCCCATTTGGAAGAAGGAGCGACGCAGCCTGGCCTCTGCGAGTATTGCATCGCGACCGCGACCTCCAGCAAGCGACGGTGGAGAGATACAACGCACACGGAGGGCACAAGATGAATCCCAGCAAGAGCGCTTCCTCCGGCGTCGGGGCCGACGCCAAAGAGAGCAAGAGCGCCGGTGAGCGGCGGGCGACGGCCGTGAGCTTTCTCTGTGCCACGCACAACGCGACCTGTGCGGGTGGACGTTGGGGGGTGCCTGTGTGTCTGTATCTACGTGTGTTGCCTGTGGGGAGTGTTGCCTGGGGGTGGGAGCGGTGGTGTAGCGGTTAGCGCTACGCCGCGCTACGAACCTGGCGACCCGGGTTCGATTCCCGCTCACGGCCAACATCGGTGGCGATTATCTGTACCGGTCCTTGGCCTTCCCTAGGTCGACTCAACCTCAAATTAGTACCTGGTGCGGTGTGTAAACATCGCCGCTAGGGAGACAAAGGCGACCGGGCGTGGTGCTGGTCACCCACCCCCTCGTGTGCCGTGCCGGCCTTTGTAGGTGCTCGCTAACAGCACTTGCCCCTACAGTATGTTAAGGCTATACGGGTCATCTTTGTCTTTGTGTTGCCTGCGTCGTGTGGAAACCGCATGCCCAGCCCCAAGCGGCTTCTGTTTAGTCCTAGAGAAGGGACGGGAGCTGATGCGGCACGGGAGGACGTTGAGCCCGAGTCGGACTTGGAGATGACCGCTAAACCAGCCGTGTCGAGATCGACCTCTGTGGAGGAGGGAGGGCTCGTGAAGGACGCTGCTGCTGCTGGGCAGTTGGAGGCAGTCGCCCTCCAGCCAACAACGGAGGGCGGCGGAGGAACGATGCTCACAACAACGAGCGGAACGCCGGGAAGATAAAATGCAGCGAGTTAACGCTGGGTGGAAGCACGGCTGGTGCATCTACCAGTCATCTACCAGTCATCTCAGTGAGCCCGTGGCACCCGGGTCTATCCCGCGACCTCCTGCCGGCGGGCATTCCGCACTTAACGTGGCCTCAGAGTGAACCTAGCCGGGCACGAGCGCCGTGGTGACGTCAACGCCACTTACTGGCGAATGGCGGCTGTTGTGTTTTTTCGTCACAGAAAATGACCGATAGGGTCCCTCCACATCCCTTGCTCTCACTGTACGCGCCATGCTGCGCGGTGTGTGTGTATCGGCCCTCATCATGATGGGCGGATGAATGAAGATCCTTCATTTCACCAATTCCGAGAGTGCGCGGCGCGATCCTGCTCCGTCCCACTGACCAAAAAAGACCTAAACGCACCGAGTCTCTCCCGGAGAATGCGCGAACGAGATAACAATCACTGCCATCGGCATCGCCATCAGACTTGGTCAATCCACTGCTGGATGAAGGCTTCCCGGAAGCCACCACCACCACTAAACACGATCCTGCGATGTTGATGATCCACCTCGCGCCTGCACTGGTTTTGATATCGCTCCGTCTCTCATGGTTGGTGGCCTCGCTCTCGAACGCGTGGCGTTCCCAGAGCGGTGATCGCGTCGTCTTAAATCGCCACAATTCACGGCCCGATTTGTCAGCAGACTCGTGGACGAAGCCCTCCCCTCCCGCGTCGATCTTGGGAGTTTCGTTACACAGCCATACGTCACCACGCTGATCGATGCCTATCGGTGAAGGTCACCCCCCCCCCACGTCCCCAGCGATGTCAGCCGTGACCCGGAATACAACTCGGGTCGCCAGTTTTAGCGCAGTGCGTTATCGCCACCACTCACTGCACCAGCCCTCCCATCGTGATCGTCAAATATTCTTAAAACAATAATATATGTATCTCTAGAGATGCGTTCGTATTCGGGCGCGACGTGGACCCCAAGTATGTAAGGATGGTAACGACATTTGCTCATTACATATTACATGTTCTTAAACACACACACACACGCCAGCATTTAGATGCTCGTTTGCAATGTGCGGCCTGCAGAACACTCGCTGCGTATCGGGACCAGCATTGAGTAGAGATTGTGTCATATCCATCCACACTCGAGTCTGTAATATCCACACTCGAGTCTGTAATATCAACACTGAAGTCTGTAATATACACACTAGAGTCTGTAATATCCACACTCGAGTATGTAATATAAACACGACATTCTTTAATATGCACACTCGAGTCTGTAATATCAACACTGAAGTCTGTAATATACACACTCGAGTCTGTAATATCCACACTATACAAAGAATGGCAATTGTTGAATAACCCCCCGTATAATGACCAGTTAGGTGGATACATTTTTCTCTGTTTGACCTCCTGCCAGCGAGCTTGCGACAATTCCTGTCCCCTCCAAGTGCACCTAGCCTGGCACAGGGGCTGTGGCGGCGTCACCGTCGATCATTAGTGACGAATGGTGGCTGTTGCTGCTGCTGCTGTATATGTTAACCGCGCCGAGTGTATATTAGAGACAATAGTGACATTTAACCACCAACCAACAACGAATTGCTTAGCATCGTAAATTGAAACAACAAACAACCTTCACACAACGCATCGTTACTGTGTTGCAAACGAGTCCCCCAGCCTTGGAGGCGACCGCGTAGGCGAGGTTTCGAGTTTGTAGTTCAGGACCAAGGGCGCTGTCCCTGGTACTGAAATGGCGCTTAGCCCCACCTAGCGGTCAGCGAATCTGTATTGCAACTGCAGGAGAAATCCGATGAGCCACTATTTTTTTTCCACAGATATCCAGTAAGACGCCGTCCATAAATGACGTCACATTTGTGACGATGTGTGACGAGCTTGAGGGGGGGTGGGTTGAGAAATGTGACGTCACATCAAAATGCGCAACTTTTAATAAATAAAGACAGCGCGTTCTACTTAATTAAATCGGCTTTTTAATAAATGTTTTCTCCTACAACATCAGAGTGCAGCGGCACATTAAATACGCACTACAATGGCAATAGTTTTAAGCGATTTGAAGCATGTTTTATTTTGAGGGGATGGGGGCAGAGCTTTGTGACGTCATATTTGAGGGGAGGTCTGACTTTTTGTGACGCCGTGTGACGAGGGGAGGGGGATCAAAAATCGTACAAAATCGCGTGACGTCATTTATGGACGCCTACTAAGGGGCGCGGGGTCAGAACGTTACAACAACAAACAATACAAAAACACGATGGGAGTGCAAAGTAGAGGAAAGATAAACACATCACTTGTTCAAAATATACAAATAAACTAAAATATTACTGGGAGGAACCTCCTGGTTACACCAGCCCACAGGGGATTATTGTGTCCGTCGTGCAGGAAGGGGCTGGGTGGGGAGGGAGGGGCTGGGTGGGGAGGGGCTGGGTGTGGAGGGAGGGGCTGGGTGTGGAGGGGAGGGGCTGGGTGGAGAGGGTGGGGCTGGGTGGGGAGGGGCTGGGTGGGGAGGGTGTGGAGGGGCTGGGTGGGGAGGGTGGGAGGGGTGGGGCTGGGTGGGGAGGGGCTGGTCACCCCGTGGTGCCCTTATAAAACTCAACGTTTAACCTACTCACGCCGGCTTGTGCCCGCCCTCACAGTCGGGCATATTTGCGGAATACACCACGCCGCCGTTGACCCTGCAGGCCATTGACCGAGCAACCCAACGTTCCTACCAGCTCCCTCCGCAGGAATGTGTTTTTTGTTCTTTTACCAGGAAAGGCTCCACTGAGCTTTTGCCTTGTTTTGCAAATGACGGCTCAACTACGTGGCCTATCATCACGTGCGCATTTATAGCAGCGAAATAATCTCAGCGCGTATTTCTAAACGTGGAGGGACAGAGAGAAAAAAATCCACGCGACCACGGGGAGAACATGCAAACTCCAACTGTAGAAAAATCATAATTACGACAATTTACTCATTTATCCAGGAGAGTCACACCGAGTGGTATGATTTATTTTCCAGAGGCTCCTGCCGCTCCATTGTTTATTTATTATTTCAAGAAGTTTTCATCCGATTAATGAGATGGGTTGTGTTTATTATTATTATTATACAAGTAGGGAGAAAACCACAGCGCTCGGAGAAAACCGATGCGTTTTACGAGAGAGACCAACACTCTATCCTCGTACGTGTGTATGTATGTACCAAATGCATACCAACCACTGCCCCCCCCCCCCCCCCCACAGACCTTCAGGCCATGCTTCCACCCCCATATGAAAGACGCCGTACCACCCGACAATGCACACCCCTGCCAATCCCTCGCTCTTACCCCCCCCCCCCCCCCCAGTTGCCAGAACGTTGCTGCCCGGACAGAAGCTCCACTTAACTCTGCTGTCCACATACGGAACTGCCTCCCCGATGAACACATTGTCGGCAAAATGACCGATTCCGGTCTTCAGGCCATCAAATGACGAGCTCACACACATGGACATCTTAACACATTCCTGCGGAGGGAGCTGGTAGGAACGTTGGGTTGCTCGGTCAATGGCCATGGTCAACGGCGGCGTGGTGTATTCCGCAAATATGCCCGACTGTGAGGGCGGGCACAAGCCGGCATGAGTAGGTTAAACGTTGAGTTTTATAAAGGCACCACGGGGTGACCAGCCCCTTCCCACCCAGCCCCACCCCTCCCACCCCCCACCCAGCCCCACCCTCCCCACCCAGCCCCACCCTCCCCACCCCCCACCCAGCCCCTCCCCTCCCCACCCAGCCCCACCCTCCCCACCCAGCCCCTCCCCACCCTTCCCTCCCCACCCAGCCCCTCTCTCCCCACCCAGACCCTCCCTGCACGACGGACGGACGGACACAATAATCTCCTGTGGGCTGGTGGAACCAGTGGGTTCCTAACTTTACCACTCGCCTTGTACGGACTACTGAGTCGTTGAGCTGCAGCGAACCCAATGATTATGCCGATTATATATGTACTCGTGTCTAATGCGGCTATTGTTTGCAATTGCCACCCAATAAAACAAACTGCACGTTGAACCTTTTTCTCACCGTACGTAGCCAACCGGTGCTAATCGGAGGTACAGATGGAAACAGACGACAATTAGTCTCGCATACCATCGCCCATCGCCCTAACCGCAACCGTAATGCTACCACGCCCCCCCCCCCCCCAAAGGTAATTAAGCGAATCCGAGTCACGAGCCTGGCTCGAGATACAATCCCAGCCGTAATCTCGTCCCTTGTAATTAATTATCTTAGCCCCAAACAAGAGTTCAAGAGGTAGTCATAGCTCGAACCTTTAATCCTGGCCATAATCATATATTTAATCCGAGCCCTGCTCATAATCCTAGGCCTAACCCTGGTCCGAGACGTAATTACAGACCTAATTCTACTTCTAGACGTAATCGCAAACACTTGTACGGCACGAACACCGTTGTTGACAACCAGCATTTGCTTCCCAGGACCCCCCCCGCCCCGCCTGCAACCCCCACACACGTGTGAGGGGGAAACACTCTATCCCATACAGATTGAACAGGTGGTGTTCACGTTTGCTCTGCTGGAGCCTTAATCTCCTGGAAAGTCAGGGTATGATAATTGTTTTTTTTTACCCTGGCGCACAACTAATGGCAAATGAGGTTCCAATGGTGTAAATGCTTCCCGGAGCTCTCATACTCTGATGGTGCATTGTCTTTGAGTTGTGCGCCTTTTGACGTCATCTGGTCCAACACCATGTGAGACTAGGCTCTAAGGAAAGCTGTCTCGGGTGTGGACCAATCAACTTCAAGGACAGTGCATACATTTTCTTGGTTCTTTCGGTAAAGTCACGTAGAAGGGAAGTAATAAAATAATAAAAATAAAACATAATAAAATTATTCTCACTGTGAGAATGATTTTATTATGTTTTATTTTTATTATTTTATTACTTCCCTTCTACGTGACTTTACCGAAAGAACCAAGAAGATGAATCCCTGCAGTCACGAAAGCTTTAAATCAAAATTTAGTGCATACATTATCATAGTTGTGTTTTTTGTTTGCATTCCGACTGCAGGTATTGTGGTCAATGCAAACATGACTCCTTGTAAAAAAAAGGTGTCAGTTTTGTTGCCAGATAAAAGGGTAAAAAAAACAATTATCATATTTTGCTACTGGAAAATGAGGTTCCAATGGTGTAAGTCAGGGTATGGCTCCTCCTCCTCCTCGACGTCCATGGGAAAGGAGTGTCGCATTATTTGTGTGATGCATTAACCCTCGCTGGGTTACAGGCCACCACCACCACGACCCGTGCTTTAATTCGGTGTTCCTCTCATCCCCTTTCTCGGTCTGTCCCGTTCCCCTCTCCGTGTGCGTCTCTGCGCTCCGACACGTTTGTTTCCGCGATTAGGCGCAGTGCTATTGGGGCGCCACGGTGGCGAGATGTTAACTACCTCGCCTGGTATACAGGAGGTCGAGGGTTCGATCTCGACCCTGACGCTTGCTGCTGTATATTTGGAGTTTGCATGTTTCTCTCTCCGTGGTTGTGTGGATTTTTCTCCGGGTCCTCCGGTTTTCCCCTCCACATTTAAAATAACTCGTTTAGAGTATTTGGCTGCTATAATTTCCCACGTGATAAGCCACTTCGTTGCGCTATCAACTTGCTTTTAAGGGATTACATCTTGAATCATTGCCTCACTTGATGCAGCAAATCTGGCTGTGACGGTCCCACCTGATGACGGAGACTTGTGTTGCCTCCGAAACGTCGTGATTTTTATTTTATTTTACTTTTATTAATTTTAATGTTTTACCTACGTGACTTTACCGAAAAAACCTAAGAATATGAATAAGCTGTATAGAGCTCAGCGGGCACTTATCTGGTAAAATAAACTAAAACATAGTTCATGTTTTTTTTTATTATAGTTTTACAAATGTGAGTTGTCATCGTCCATGTTGATGTCGCCCTCTAGGACACGAAGGGGTGGAGGTGGAGCACATGGACGGGGAGCCCGCCGCTAACGGAGGCCCCGAGGTAAAGCGGCGGCGCCGTGGACGTGCGGCCACGGGGGGCAGCACGCCGACGCGCGGCCACGCGTATGAAACTTTTAGCGTAAAACTTTCGTGATTTTTTGTTGTTTACCATTCAGAGAATCGGCGGAATTAACGACCCGAGGGTTCGTTCGTTGCCCTCATCGGCAAGCCACGTTTTTTTCTCTCGTGGGCTCCGGGACGTCCGGTACGGCTCGTTAACTTAAAGTAGAGGTTTCCTTCCGCGGGTCGGGACTACGATTCGACGAGTCGTATAGAAGAAGGAAAACCTCAACCAAAACTCGACTCTGGTGCGACTGCGTATTGTGACCACATCGCCAGCTGTCGCCCCGTCTCCCTCGACCACTCGCGAGGTCGTCGATTGACCCCCGAGGGGTTTGACGGTAGAGATATCGGTGGAAGGTGGTCGAGAAAGTGGTGACGCAGTCCGCAGTCAAGACCCCCCGCCCCCCCCCCCCCCAGCTACGGTCAGAATATGAATCGTGCTGATCATAACCAGGACTGTCCATAGTGGGGGGGGGGGGGGGGGGGTGCAGGGCCCGGGGCACACACCACACCGCGCCTTCAAACTAAACCGGAAGAATAACATCTGACACCGTGACGTTGAAGCGTGCCCCCCCCCCCCCCCCAAGGCGCGGGGCCCGGGTCAGTCGCCCCAATTCGTCGTACCCTGGTTGTAGCGTGCCTGGAGCAAGCTCGATCGCCGATTTAGCGCGTACGCTTTCGCCACCAACGTTATTCGAAATTAAGTTTGTGCTGGGTTCAGATCGCGTGAATATAAATGCGTCGTCGACAGGTTCTGGCTTGTCACCCGATGAAGCTGGTTGTTGTAATCGCCGGCGAAACGTCGTACTTCAAATGTTGTGGGTTTACTCTCCAACACGACCGGTGGTGCTGAAGTGGTAACACATTGGCACATTTTCTTCGCGTGACAAGCCTTGCCAGTTTAACACGTGGTAGGCTTTCGCGACCGATATCATCCATAACAGAGGGTTTTTTTACTGTTGGGTTAGATCGAGTAATTATATAAATGTGTCATTAAACTCGCCACCACCCGACACAGCCAATTAGTAAGTTGTGTCACGTAGCTAAAGCGTGCCAATTCGCGGTGTGTTGGAGAGCAAATCCACAACATTTGCAATCTGAGTACGACGTTTCGCCAGTAATCACAACCGGCATCATCAGGCAGACAGCCAATTGTCTGCGTCTGATGGAGGGGGTTACAACACGTGCACGTTCACGCGATCTAACCCTGCAAAAAAACCCATCGTTCCATCACGATCGCTCACTCAGTATCCCTCCGTGGCCAAACGCGAAATTGCCCCCCTCTCCCCGGGCCGCTGATTCGACGGTGACGCGCGTCTTTGCCCGCTCCCCTCCCGCAGAAGTTTTTCGGCCTCTCGACGAAGGAGTGGGGCCTGGTGGCCCTGGGGATCGTGGCGGTCGTCGGACTCGCCGTGTACGTCAAGCGGCGCGACTGAGACCACCACAATCCTGCCGCTCCCACCCCCTCCTCCCTCCCTCCCTCCCACACCGACCTCCCGAACGAGATGCAATCGTCCGGAGACGCGGAGACCGCGCCACGCACGCACGAGACGGCCACGCATCGTCGTCAGTCGCCGTCACCATCGTCGCCCCAGTTGTCAACACTTAGCGGAGTAGCTGCGGCAACGTTGCCCTCCACCGATCGTTATTGGAGTGCCTCGGCCGGTGCGAATGGCAATGGGTTTACACGGAATGTGTGCGTGCGTGCGGCTCACAAGCAGCGGGAAGGCACGACAGGCTTCGTCCATAATAGAGGGGGTTTTTGTGTTGGGTTCGATCGCGTAAATAATAAATGTGTCGTTAAACCCGCCACCACCCGACACAGCCAATTAGTAAGGTTTGTCACGTAAACAAACGTGGCAATTCGTTACTCGTTCAGCACACCGGTTGTGTGTTGGAGAGTTAAACACACGACGACATTTACAATTCGAGTAGCGTGACGTTTCGCCGGTAATTACAACAACAAGCAACTTCTTCTTGGTTCTTTCGGTAAAGTCACGTAGAAGGGAAATAATAAATAATAAAAATAAAACATAATAAAATACAATTCTCACGACGTTTCGGCCACAACGCAAGCAGCCGTCCTCAGGTGAAGAACAGGTCTGTCGGAAAGACAGCGTCTGAATGAATTGTATTATTTCCCTTCTACGTGACTTTACCGAAAGAACCAAGAAGATGAATCCCTGCAGTCACGAATGCTTTAAAACGAAATTTAACAAGCAACTTCATCAGCCAGAATTGTGCAGAAATCCTCCTGCTGTTTCAGCTTTAACGACACATTTATATTCGTGCGATCTAACCCAAAAAAAACCTCTATCATGGAAAATATTGGTCACGAACGCCTACTGCGCGTTGAGCAGGCATCATCACCTTAGTAAAAATATCATTCGTAACACGCACAATTGAAGGAATATAATTGGCCGTGATTCGGTGGCACGGAGCCAAAGTTGGTGTCGCTCAGGCGAGAGACCACGGCATACGATCGCCACGTCGCGTGTACGACGTTCTCAGCCTTGTCCACACCACCAACTCAAGAGCTGAACGTTTGGCTGCATTGCTGTGTGTGTGCCTGCACGCACTTACCTGCTCTGTAGTGGGGGTTGTCTTCATTTACAGAGGGTGTTGGATCTGAGTAAAGCCTCTTGACGATTAATCGATTAATTGGTAAATTTTCATTGTTAAAACTCATGATCCATGCATCAAATGGACCACGTAAGAATGAGTAGCAGACCAAAAGTAAAGGTATAATGATGCATCACTTAATAACAATCGCGTCTGTAAGAACTGATGTTTCACAATTCGTATACAGTACAGCACTGCTTATCTTGTTGCTGATGGGTTTAATGTGACCCCTGCAGCCACTATGGGTGCAATGTAAAAAAATTAATTGATTATTGAATCTAATCAGGACTCTGATTCGCAACAATCCATCACTCAATTGAACCCCCCTTTTAAATAATGATATAAAAGGTATACATATCAACATTTAATGTATCAGTCTCATCATGTAGCTGTGGGCTGATAAACTGATGACACAATTGTCACAGACAGAAGAACTGCTATTCATTTTCATTGGGTCTCATCAGCAAGATGTGGCCTCACAATCCAGTGCCCCGTGTGTGCGCACGCTGGGGAGAGAGACATCCCCACACAGCCAATGTCCACCGCCAAATATTCGGCCAAAATTGCTCTGCTTTATTTTATCATTGCGCAGAAAAGAATGATAAAAAAGTGAAGTTGACACGGGGTATCCCGGCATACTTCCTGTGTGCATTCTACACCGGCGATGTCACGTGACAGATAGCCCAGCTGTTAAGTCAGAGGTTGACCTCGGTGTCTGAGCAGTAATCCCCGTCAAATAGTTACACACGCATTTAACACACCGCAAAATATTGTAAATTGTCGTAGCTACGAACACTCACTTAACCCAAGTCCACTGTAGACCAATAAATGGAAGTGTATTCTATGCCCTCTTGTTCTGTCTCTTCTCTGCCTCTTGCTTCATTGATTTTGATTTAAATTAAGTTAAAATTTCAAAAGCCGATTTAAAGCTTTCGTGACTGCAGGGATTCATCGTCTTGGTTCTCCTGAAGACGGCTGCTTGCGTTGTGACCGAAACGCCGTGAGAATTATTTTATTATGTTTAATTTTTATTATTTATTATTTTCCTTCTACGTGAGTTTACCGAAAGAACCAAGACGATTTCAAAAGCCACCACATTTCCAGGAGGCTCAACCCGACCACATGGCGAGCTTGCCAACCTCTGCCAGTCCCCGCCTACTTTTACATGACCACGCCCACCGCTCAGTCGCTATCCCCGCCCACAACGGTGAGTGCCCTCCTTCACTCACTGACGTTAGTCCTGCCTCCAGGGACTCCTCTACTTAGGAACATTCGACTTACGGACGTTCATAGATGCAAACAAACCTGGTCCGTATTCTAGATTTCAGGCTTTCGTGACTGCAATGATTCACACTCTTAGGTTTTTTCACGTAGGGAAAAATAAATAATAAAATAATATCAATAATAATATAAATAAAATAATAAATCACGACGTTTCGGAGGCAACACAAGTCTCCGTCATCAGGTGGGACCGTCACAGCTAGATTAACTGTAGCAAGTGAGGCAAATTTCCAAGAGACAAGCTCTTAAATACAAGTTAAGGGGGAGGGGGGAGGGGCTTATCTGAATGTGGTAGCCAATGAATGGAACGTGTTGGGGGGGGGTGGGCGGGGCTACAAGAGAACAATCCGTACACCTCGACTTAACTGGTGTTGGCTGACAATCCAAATACAAAAAGGCAGTGCTGTTAAACGCTAGGGATGTCAACACTCGGTAAAGTAGAATAGTACCTGTCAAATAAGATGGTACAAATATGTGTAGTTAAATCTTTTGGTCCGTATGTCCATTTGCCTGTTCGGACCGAGAGTTGTAAAGTTCAACCGCCGGGCAATAGATGGCGGTGGTGGCATCGACATCTGCAGAACGTGACGAACCAGTGGCATCTACATCTACAGGACATTATACAACTTTTTAAGCCATTCCCCGTGTTTAGTGTACACGCTGTACAACGTGTTTGGAATCGAGAGGAGTAAAGTTGGATTTACGAACAAATCGACTTATGAACAGACCTCTGCAACCGAACTAGTTCGTAAGTAGAGGAGTCACTGTACTTGCTCATAGGCCCCAGGCGCCAGTCATGTAAAAAATTAACCCGTAAAAACAAAGTTTTTCACTATAAATCCTTAATATGCGTGGCATCGGTTTTATTTTATTATTCATTTCTGTTTTTCTTGATTCATTTTTATCACATTGGTATTTTAAATTAAATATGATTTTTTTTTCTTCCTAAAAAGTGGAAAATTTAGGAAAAAACAGTTTCACGAAAATAAATTGTCACGCACAACGAGTCTGTGTGCAAAATGTCAGCTCGATTGGATCACAGGAAGTGGGTGAAAAAGCGACCGAAAGATTTGCACGGTCGTAAGCGCGCAAGCAAGCGCGCAAGTGAACTTAATATAAAGAATTAAAAAATCAGTGCTGCTGTACAATAGTGAAAGATGGAGAACCACCAAGATAGACGTGAACTCCCCATCAACCTTCCGCAACGACTGCCTGAGGAATATCTGTCGCATCTTCTGGCCAAACAAGATTTCAAACCGGGACCTGTACATCAGGACCAATTCAAGACGCACAACGCGGGGGCACACAACGGAGAGAAGGTGGCTGGGACACGTGCTGAGAATGGAACCCAAAGTTCAAAGTTAATTTATTAGGTATAGCCCTGTGAGCCATTCGGCTCTTGAATCGGGTGCAACCGCAACAAACAGAAAACAAAAACATGAACAAGAAAACATCTTAAAGTGACTATGTGACTAAGTGCAAACAGAAAATCCAAGAAAAGACAGCAAAATATTGCAGACAAAGCACCGTACACCAACGCTGTGTGCAAAAATCCCAGTGGGATGCAAGTCAAACAACAACAACCACAAGACAACTTAGATTAAGGCCATCAGTCTAACTCTGTACTACAACAAACAAACATGGCCAAACCAAAAAACTTTTCGAAAATCACCAAAATAAAGCCATAAAAGCAATGAAACAGTGCAGGTCATAGGAACTGTGACCAAATTTTCACAATAAACGACGTAAACAACATGTACCACCAAACTCTGCAGCCATAGCTGGCTGCATGAGTCACTCCACAACAGTAGGAGCATCAGTCGGAGTATCAACATTTTTTAATGCACCTTTAAGATCAGCGCACTGAATCAAAACACAGATCATACTTTGCATACTTTGCCGCGATCATCCGGAGCGAAACATTGTATTTTAGGCCACTAAAAGTCCATAGCGAAGACCGCCCCAAGGTGGACACCGCAACGAGAAGAGACCACGGGGCAGGCCGTAGATCGCCTGGTGACGGCACCGTCCAAGACCAAGGAAAGACCACGGGGTGTCCGTCTTGGGGTGAAGCGGAGAAAGTTGCTCAAGACCGTCTGGCATGGCGTGGGCTTGTTGCGGCTGTGTGCTCCACAGGGAGGGAAGAGAAGTCATTAAATCAGATATCAGCCACTGCTTTGGGCTATCATTTGTGATAGCCAAGTCGCTTCTGAAAAAGAACTCTACAGCTCAGTGGGGCCTTACCTACTAAAATAAAAAGTGGTTTTAAAATACTCTTTGGTTCTTTCGGTAAAGTCACGTAGGTATAAAATAAATTAAATGAAATCACGACGTTTCGGGCGCAACACAAGCACCTGTCATCAGGTGGGACAATCACAGCAAAAAACAATTGTTGAAGTGGGAGTTGCCCACTTCAGCAATTGTTTTTTGCTGTGACTTTACCGAAAGAACCAAAGAGTATGGATCCCTGCTGTCACGAAAACTTCAAATCTAGATTGGTTTTAAAATATTGATTTAAAGCTTTCGTGACTGCAGGGATTCATATTCTTGGTTCTTTCGGTAAAGTCACGTAGAAGGGAAATAATAAAATAATACAAATATTAAACAATAAAAATTATCACGACGTTTCGACTGCAACACAAGCAATCATTAGGTGTGATTGCTTGTGTTGCAGTCGAAACGTCGTGAGAATTTTATATTTGTATTATATTATTATTTCCCTTCTACGTGACTTTACCGAAAGAACCAACATATGTTTTAAAATAGTTTAAACGTGGAGCACCAACGCGGAATGGATGACAGTGCTTGGTGGAGTCGCCACCGTTGTTTTATTCCATCAGCTTTTTTCGTGGCTTTTCGAGCCAAAATTATCAAGGGACATTTTGCCTGCGCAAGCAAAATGTGACGAATTTGCGTTTATCGATTAACGAGTGAGCGCCTCCATAAAACTATAAACTTTTATTTTATTTTACCAGGTCATGCGCCGCTGAGCTGTGTAGATCTTTTTCAAAAGCGTCTCTGACTATCACAAATGATAGCCCAACCAAGTGGCTTAAAATGTGTAAATGTGTAGTGGCATTGCTGGTTGTGATGCACGAATGCCACTGCTCTCCAGATGTAGTGCCAGCCCCGGGATAACGGAGGGCGGAATAATTCGAGTTGGGCCGTGACACGCAGGTAGGAGGGCTCGTGACCTGAGATACTGACCCCAGGACCCCCAAGAGGGGGCTGGGGGGGGGGTGACGTGTCGATAGCCCAGGTACTTCTCGAAGGTTCGAGAAGAAGGGCATGGCTCGGGGCGGACAGAGCCGGGACTGACTATAAAAGCCGGACCCCTTAACGGGTCCGGGTGCTGTTGTATACTTGAAGACCCTAAGCCGTCACCCTGAAGAGGAGCACCAAGACGGGACCAGGACCCCAGCCTCCCCAGTGTTAGTGCGCGTTAGCCCGGAGGACATGCCTCCGTAGAGTATCGGGTGGAAGGGGCCGTTACCCCTTCGTGTTAAGGTTACCCTCGTTATAATACACGTGTTGCCTCTAAAGAAGTCTCGCTCTCCATTCTATCCCCCAATATTCAAATACATGTATGTTCAATATGTCCCGCCCAATATATTGCTATAAAATAGATTTCTGTTTATATGATTGTGGTTAAGGTTGTACTTTATTAATCCCTAATCTCTGCCATTACATACAATGAAACAAGAAAAGGTAAAAAATAAAAAAAACGTGAATGTAATACAATACACTATTAGACATTGTAAAAAATAAATAAAAAGTCCATCCTATGTGTTAGTAATTTTTTTTATATTTTAGGCAGGAAATTCGTCTTCAAATTGATCTTTTTTTCTGGGGGGGGGGCAGAATCCCTGAAAGATTTGGTCCCCCCAATGTTGACTTCATTGCTACGGCTTTGCAACAAATGTATAGCAGCCAAATACCCTAAATGCGTGATGTTGATTCTAAATGTGGAGGAAAAGACCGGAGGAACCCAGAGAAAAATCCACGTGACCACGGGGAGAGAGAGACACGCAAACTCCAAATATACAGCAGCAGGCATCGTCAGGGTCGTGAATGAACCCACGACCTCCTGTACACCAGGCGAGGTAGTTAACATCTCCTAGCCACCGTGATGATGATGAGAGAGAGAGAGACACGCAAACTCCAAATATACAGCAGCAGGCATCGTGAGAGTCGTGAATGAACCCACGACCTCCTGTACACCAGGCGAGGTAGTTAACATCTCCTAGCCACCGTGATGATGATGAGAGAGAGAGAGACACGCAAACTCCAAATATACAGCAGCAGGCATCGTCAGGGTCGTGAATGAACCCACGACCTCCTGTACACCAGGCGAGGTAGTTAACATCTCCTAGCCACCGTGATGATGATGAGAGAGAGAGAGACACGCAAACTCCAAATATACAGCAGCAGGCATCGTGAGAGTCGTGAATGAACCCACGACCTCCTGTATACCAGGCGAGGTAGTTAACATCTCCTAGCCACCGTGATGATGATGAGAGAGAGAGAGAGACACGCAAACTCCAAATATACAGCAGCAGGCATCGTCAGGGTCGTGAATGAACCCACGACCTCCTGTACACCAGGCGAGGTAGTTAACATCTCCTAGCCACCGTGATAATGATGGTGATGAGAGAGAGAGACACGCAAACTCCAAATACACAGCAGCAGGCATTGTCAGGGTCGTGAACGAACCCACGACCTCCTGTACACCAGGCGAGGTAGTTAACATCTCCTAGCCACCGTGATAATGATGGTGATGAGAGAGAGAGACACGCAAACTCCAAATACACAGCAGCAGGCATTGTCAGGGTCGTGAACGAACCCACGACCTCCTGTACACCAGGCGAGGTAGTTAACATCTCATAGCCACCCAATTACCTCTGTTACCGGATCATTGAGAATAAAGAACTCTTTCCAAATTCTAGACTTGAAGCTTTCGTGACTGCAAGGAATCATATTCTTAGGTGTTTTCGGTAAAGTCACGTAGGTAAAACATCAAAATTAATAAAAATAATAAAATAAAATAAAGATCACGACGTGTTGCCTCCGAAACGTCGTGATCTTTATTTTATTTTTTTATTTTGATGTTTTACCTACGTGACTTTACCGAAAACACCTAAGAATAAGAACTCTTTCCAAACTTCACCGGACATCATGTGAACAAGAATAGCTTCATAGCTCATCGGATTCCTCCCGCAGTATCAATCAACATCTCCCAATGCCACCGATAATACATCACGCACCCAACTTATCCTCGACTTGCACACAACCACAATAAACACGCACAAACGCACGCCGTGCAATAAAAACCCGTGTAAAATTCGCTAATTAATCACACACATCACACACACACACAAAAAACGCATTCTCATCGCGTGAGGTCGCGGGTTGCGAAATCGTAGCACGTATTAAATAAAATAAGAATGATGTGCAAGTCGGGTTCGGCTATATAAACAACAACAACACGAAGAAGTAACATCCGAACAGCGATTGATCCCGTGCGGCACCAACCCCACGTATAGTTAGACAATCACTCTCAGCCATCAATTTAATCATCTCTCTCTCTCTGTGTCTCTCTCTCTCGTCGTCTTCCTGATTTTTAGCGTTCGAAAAGCTTAAAAGGCGGTGGGCAAAGACGATGGCTTCTGCGGTGAAAAAGGTCGTGGTGTTCGGTGCCACGGGCATGACCGGCTTGGAGGTGCTGCCGCAGGCGGTCAAAGCCGGTAAGGCGCGCCAGGCAAGACCGTAGGCTTCGCCACGGGGTTAGGCCTCACTTTCTCTTGTTGCAAATACGCGCCGTGCTTAAGGCTATCGCGGTGATACAAAGTTGTGTAGTTGTAAAATACCCTAAACGTTGCTTTTACGATGTCGTGCATGCTGCTGAAGCTGTTCGTCGTGATATTTTAACGCATCGTTTGTCAAGCCTGATGTCGACATTCATGTTTTGCTGTGAGCGGGGTGGGTTTTTTTTGTTACTTAACTTTAAACTTTGGAAGAATAATTTGCGCTTTTTTTCTCGCTTTAATGTAGCATTAGCAATGTCCAGTTTTATTCGCGGGAAACATGTTTGTGATGTGCCCTCTGTGCATCCCTACGCATTCGAAAAACATGCCATGCTTACAATATCGTCAGTACACAGTACAAACGTAACAGTATTTCACTCTTACTGGCCGTGCCTTTAGCCATTCAGAGTCACAACTTACATCCCTTCATCAACTAACTCGCCTGGACCAGAGTGGTGAAGTATGGTCAAACAATCACACCACCACCCCCATCATTCCAAGCGGTGCTATTGACAAAAGGCGCTGCTGCTAACTTGTGTGTAAGCACGGTCTTAAGTGTAAGTTTTTAAACGTAGCAAGTTCATTTCATTTTCATTTCATTTATTAGGTATAGCCCTGTGAGCCATTCGACTCTTGAATCGGGTGCAACCGCAACAAACAAAAAACAAAAACATGAACAAGAAAACATCTTAAAGTGAATATGTGCAAATAGAAAATCCAAGAAAAGACAGCAAAACATTGCAGAAAAAGCACCGTACACCAACACTGTGCAAAAATCCCAGTGGGATGCAAGTCAAAGAACAAATATTATTCATAATAAAGGTTTTTTGGGTTAAATCGCGTAAGTATAAATGTGTCGTAAACCCTCTACACAGCCAATTAGTAAGGGATTTGTCACGTACACAAAACGCGCCAATTAGTTTATTTTGTTTTATTTGTTTTATTATGTTTTATTTTTATTATTTTATTACTTCCCTTCTACGTGACTTTACCGAAAGAACCAAGAAGAAGAACAATTCGTTTACTCCTTCAGCCCACCGCTGTGTTGGAGAGCAAATCCACAACATTTACAATTCTCCAACACACCGGTGGGCTGAAGCAGTAACTGATTGGCGTTCAGTTCACGTGATAAACCCCTTACTAATTGGCTGTGTCGGGTGGTGGAGGGTTACGACACATTTACGAGATCCAAGCCAAAACCCTGCGTTAGTTCTAAGTCTTACCCACCACGGCGTACGCGCTCTATTTCCTAACTCCACGTCGTGTCCCAACAGACGTGTGGCAATCACGCCTAGCTGTGCAATTCGGGCTTCGGCATGGTCCTATTGCAGTCCCAGGGGACGTGGAACTTTGGCCCAACGTTGGTTCAACGTTGGGCCGACGGTTCCAGGCACAGTCGAACGTTGGATCAACGTTGCCATGTTCACCGGGGGTATGTGCTGAACGCCACGGTGGCTAGGAGATGTTAACTACCCTGATGACGCCTGCTGCTGTATATTTGGAGTCTGCGTCTCTCTCTCTCATCATCGTCATCACCACGGTGGCTAGGAGATGTTAATTACCTTGCCCGGAAGGCAGGAGGACGTGGGTTCGATCCCAACCCTGACGCCTGCTACCTGCTGCTGTATATTTGAAGTCTGCGTCACTCTCTCATCATCATTACGGTGGCTAGGAGATGTTAACTACCTCGCCAGGTATACAGGAGGTCGTGGGTTCGATCACGACCCTAACGTCCGCTGCTGTATATTTGGAGTTTGCGTGTCTCTCTCCCTGTGGTCACGTTGATTTTTCTCCGGGTCCTCCGGTTTTTCCCTCCACGTTTAGAAACATGCGTTTAAGAGTATTTGACTGCCATACATTTCCGCGTGATGGTAAGCTACTCCGTTGAACAATCATTTGTGATAACCAGGTCGCTTCTGAAAAAGAGATGGGGACCTTACCTGGTAAAATATTAAAAAATATATACTTTTAAAGCTTTATACACATCGTCAGCCATGTTCTCTCCACTGCTGGATGAAGTACCGCCTCTCCTGGCATTGCCATCCCTCACGGGCCCGTGATTACACAATCCCTTTGCTGCACATGCACTTATCTCATCGTGCCATCTCCGTGGTGGATCATCCTCTCGGTCCTGCTCCGTCTATCGGCTGACTTTCCTGGCACTTGCCCATCAGCCGTAATTCCGCGTAGCTAAGTGTCCTCAAGCTGACTTTCCTTAACGGTTGGAATTATAAAAAAATGTTTAGGCTTTTCGCAACCGTACTGCGTCATACCGATAGAAAATTCGAGTCGTCCGTGTCGGGGATAGAGTCCACATTCATTAATAATTCCAGCCTTGACACCCACGGTACAAAGAGTTACCCGTCACGTTACCGTAGCCAATTATCAACCAGGGATGTGCTGGCACGGTTGTCCGATTGGGTCTGGTTTGTGTCCTTGTCAGCTTTTTGGTTGTATCTTCTTCGACCTTGTTTCCGATCTGCATGTCACAGCAGGTGCTGATGACACTGCCTTTGTGCATGCAAAATTAATTTTAAACTAAACAATTTTTATTTTATCAGGTGACGTCCACTGAGATATATAAATCTTTTTCAGAAGCGACCTGGCCACAAATAATAGCCCAATGAAGTGGCTTATCACGTGGAAATTTATTGCAGCCAATTACTCTAAATGCATGTTGTTAAATGTGGATGCAAAACGAGCACACGGAGAAAAATCCTCGTGACCACGGGGAGAACATGCAAACTAATATACAGGCATCGGGGTTGGGACCGAACCCGTGACCTGTATACCATGCGAGGTAGTTAACATCTCACCACCGTGGCGCCCTCCACCGCCCACCTTGCAGGCTACACGGTGACGGCATTCGTGCGCAACGCGGCGCTGCTGCCGGCCGGATTGGCGCTGGAGGTGGTGACGGGCGACGTGCTGAACCCGGAGGATGTGAGCCGCGCCGTGGCCGGGCAGGACGCCGTCGTCATTGTTCTGGGCACGAGGAACGAACTCGGTGAGACATTGCCCCCGGACGTGGCCGCCCTCTCCATGGCTTGAGGCGCTCCGTTCGCTTCCCAAAGACGCACGAGTGAGCGGCTCTATATAACTATAAACTTTTTTATTTCGCCAGATAAGGCCCCACTGAGCTATTGAATGGCTCTTTTTAAGAAGCGACGTGGCTATCACAAATGATAGCACAACAAAGTGGGTTTCATCATCACGTGGAAATTTATAGCAACAACTAAATACTCTGAACGCGTGATGTTGATTCTCAATGTGGAGGGGAAAACCCGAGGACCCAGAGAAAAATCCACGCGACCAGGGGAAGGGAGACACGCAAACTGCAAATACACAGCAGGCGTCAGGGTCGGGATCGAACCCACGACCTCCTGTATATCAAGCGAGGTAGTTAACATCTCCTAGCCACAGTGGGACCCTTAACGTCTCGCCACCGGGGCTCGGCTATGGCTTGGCTCTCGGAAATTCTGAGCATGGCCAGGACCATGCACAGAACCGGCACGGGTGAAGCATGGCTTTGATTGAGTTGGCTCATTTGAGCCAGCGCCAAGCCTGAGTTGAGCTGTCACTAAGCATATGGGCCTCAGTGTCTCTGACACCAACATCATCCCCATAATCCATATTAAAGGTTTTTTTTGGGTTAGTTTGCGCAAATATAAATGTGTCGTTAAGCCCGCCACCACCTGACACGGCCAATGAGTAAGATTTGTCACGTAAACAAAACGTGCCACTTAGTTGCTAGTTCAGCGCACCGGTGTGTTGGGAGAGTAAACCCACAACATTTACAATTCGAGTACCGTGAAATTTTGCCGATAATTATAACAAGCAGCACCATTAGGCGACTGCCAGAATTGAGTCACCCGGCCACCCCGTGACTCGAGCAATTTGGATGATGTTTATTCCAAAAAACGTGCAGCGTCAGTAAAAATATGAAAAAAAGCAATGTCATCGTGAGTGTCTTCACGGCGACTTCCCGTTTTTTTTTTTATCTGCTGAGCAGATTCATTGAAAAAGAGTCGAACTCGAAGAGTGGAATATTTTTGTTGGGGGGGGGGGGATGGGAAATTGCCTTCCGATTTTAAAAACGTAGAATTAAGGCATGCTGACACGCACCGAAGCGACGACCGGAATAAACAACACTCGTGGCCAAATGACCCCCACGGACCAGCACGGCGTGGGGAGGCCCTCGTCCAGTAGTGGATTGACAGCACGGTGCTGCACGTGTACTTGTGTGCCTGTGATTTTTGTTGGTCGTCACGGTTACTGCTGAACACAGGGCCCAAAGGTCCAAAATGCCAAGTTGGCCAGCAACCAACAGCACGATTGAAGTTGTGACATATATAAAAGAGTTGATACGTTTCTTGAATTGAGCGAGATAATTACAAGCACTTGCGAAGACAGATGATGAAAGGGAAGTGAGGTGGACCTGCATTGTGGTGGATTAGATGAGACGGTCAGTTCTGATAGGCCGAGCCCTCGATGTGGGAAGAGGAGGAGGAATCAACGTGTAAAGTTCACGGAAGGAGTGACCGTGGCAGTAGTGATGGAAGCGTGATAAGGAAGTGGCTGATCGCTGGTGAGTGAGTGGCTGGAGCGATTGAGCGATGGGCTGGAGCAGTGAATGTTGTGCAAGGGACAAAACAATACTTGCAGAACCCCAGCAGTACTTAGAATGTAAAGATGCATCAATTCATGGATTTTAATCGATTGCCACGCCCGTGAGCCCTTGCATTACGTGTGAGAATCAATTACATTGTATTTACCATTCATGACAGTCGCATACAAATGACCACCGTGTCTCTGAGATGGCCATTATGAACCCTGCGAGAGAGAGAGATACACACCCCCAAATCCACGGCTCAAATCCACGCTGTCAGCAGTGCTGGCCCGGTGTCTCTGACACGGCCATTATGATCCTGCGCCTTGCGCGTGATGTCGCTGCCGCCAGGGTGAAACGTTCCGTGTGGTTGCGAGTGAGCAGGCGCCACCACCATGATGTCGGAGGGCACGCGCAACATCGTGGCGGCCATGAAGCAGCACGGGGTGCGCAGGGTGATCGGCTGCATGTCCAGTAAGTCCCTGTGGTGGTGACGGTGGTGGTGGTGGTGGTGGTGACAGGGGGTTCGCTTTGGTGACTCTGATCGTGGTGGTGACTGATGGTGGTGATGGTGCTGCTAGTGATGTTGACAATGGTGGTGATATTGCATTGTTCTTGTTATGGGAGTGAGCCCGCTTGCCGTTATGCTTTCTGCCAGTGAAGTTGATGATGATGATGGTGGTGGTGGTGATGTTGCAGCGTTCTTGCTGTGGGAGCGACCCCGCGTGCCGGCGCGCATGCTGCCCGTCACCGAAGACCACGACCGCATGTTCAGCGTGCTGCGCGAGTCGGCCCTCGACTGGATCGCCGTCATGCCGCCGCACATCGACAGTACGTGGTGCTGCCGCCGCTCCGCACACACACACACTCGCATGCTCACTCGCACACGCCCACTCGCTGACTCGCTCACTCGCACACGCCCACTCGCCCATTCGCCGACTCGCTCACTCGCTCACTCGCTCACTCACGCACTCGATCACTCCCGCTTGCTCACACTCGCACGCGTGTCGTGACGAGTTCTGCAAGATGTGACCATGTCCGTCCAGTGCTCGCTGAGCTGCATTGGCTTCCGGTTGCCGAACGAATACATTGTCAGGGTCGCGCTCATTGCACACAAAGTGCTTGCCACAAATGAATCACAATACCACCCTGCTGATCTCGTCAAGGAGTTAAACCATCACTCGAACTCCGATCATCTTCGCAGGGGCTTTTGGCTGGCCATCGAACAAAGATGGTCACCGCATCGCGCACTTTCAGATGCGCTGCTGCCACCGTCTGAAATGCTCTTCCGATATTAGAAAGCCGCTGGAGCTTTGAAATTTTAAATATAGATTGAAAAGAATTTCTTTAGAACTGCTTGTTGCGTTTAGTTTTGTTATCCTTACCCCACACCTCCGCTACGTATGGTGCGAAGTTCAACATACATACACTGTCGCCCTTGCACATTCACTCTCGCTCGCACACAAAGACAAAGATCCCTTCCCTATAGCCTAAAGAGACTTTTGGGGCAAGTGCTGTTAGCGAGCACATATTAAGGTCGGCACAGCTCACGAGGGGGTGGTGTGGCCAGCACCACGCTCGGCTGCCTTTGTCTCCCCAGTGGCAATGTTTACACAACGCACCAGGTACTCATTTGACGATGAGTCAACCTCGGAGAGGACTTGGACCGGTTCAGATAATTGTAACTGGTGTTAGCCGTGAGCGGCAATCGAACTCGGGTCGCCGGGTTCGTAGCGGATCGCGCTAATCGCTACACTACCGCTCCCCACTGTGTGCAGACACACACGCCCTAACCCTGACATACGCCCAATGCCTCCCCTAGACTCTGGCCCTGAATTGAAGTGTCTCTTATCTCTTAACTCGAGTCCTGACGTAAGCCATGACTTGCCTCTTAAACCTAACTCTGAGGACTATCCCCAAACATGAACTATCGCCTACCTCTCAACCCTAACCCGAACGACTACTCTCTAACCCTTACATCAGCCAGCACTACCCCCAACAACAAAAGCATTCCTATCCCTGAGCCTTACATAAACTATCGTCCACCCCTTAACAGCTTAAGCTTAATGTTTAACTCTTACCCTATGCCCTAACCGCAAGCTGTCACCTACCCATGTGCCCGATGCTGGGTAAACATCTGACTGTAGTGTGTGAGACACTAGAAAAAAGAAGACCCCATTAATGCAATCCATTGCCTACCCCCTAACACACACCGTGTCCTACCCCCTAACACACACCCTGTCCCACCCCCCCTAACACACACCCTGTCCCACCCCCTAACACACACCTTGTCCCACCCCCCCTAACACACACCCTGTCCCACCCCCCCTAACACTCACCCTGTCCCACCCCCCCTAACACACACCCTGTTCTACCCCCTAACACACACCCTGTCCCACCCCCCCTAACACACCCCCTGTCCCACCCCCCCTAACACACACCCTGTCCCACCCCCTCTAACACACACCCTGTCCCACCCCCCCTAACACACACCCTGTCCCACCCTCCCTAACACACACCCTGTTCTACCCCCTAACACACACCCTGTCCCACCCCCTAACACACACCCTGTTCTACCCCCTAACACACACCCTGTCCCACCCCCCCTAACACACACCCTGTCCCACCCCCCCTAACACACACCCTGTCCCACCCCCCCTAACACACACCCTGTCCCACCCCCTAACACACACCCTGTCCCACCCCCCCTATCACACACCCTGTCCCACCCCCCCTAACACACACCCTGTCCCACCCCCCCTAACACACACCCTGTCCCACCCCCCCTAACACACACCCTGTCCCACCCCCCCTAACACACACCCTGTCCCACCCCCCTAACACACACCCTGTTCTACCCCCTAACACACTCCCTGTCCCACCCCCTAACACACACCCTGTTCTACCCCCTAACACACACCCTGTCCCACCCCCCCTAACACACACCCTGTCCCACCCCCCCTAACACACCCCCTGTCCCACCCCCCCTCACACACACCCTGTCCCACCCCCCCTAACACACACCCTGTTCTACCCCCTAACACACACCCTGTCCCACCCCCCCTAACACACACCCTGTCCCACCCCCCCTAACACACACCCTGTCCCACCCCCTCTAACACACACCCTGTCCCACCCCCCTAACACACACCCTGTCCCACCCTCCCTAACACACACCCTGTTCTACCCCCTAACACACACCCTGTCCCACCCCCTAACACACACCCTGTTCTACCCCCTAACACACACCCTGTCCCACCCCCCCTAACACACACCCTGTCCCACCCCCCCTAACATACACCCTGTCCCACCCCCCCTAACACACACCCTGTCCCACCCCCTAACACACACCCTGTCCCACCCCCCCTATCACACACCCTGTCCCACCCCCCCTAACACACACCCTGTCCCACCCCCCCTAACACACACCCTGTCCCACCCCCCCTAACACACACCCTGTCCCACCCCCCCTAACACACACCCTGTCCCACCCCCCTAACACACACCCTGTTCTACCCCCTAAAACACACCCTGTCCCACCCCCTAACACACACCCTGTTCTACCCCCTAACACACACCCTGTCCCACCCCCCCTAACACACACCCTGTCCCACCCCCCCTAACACACACCCTGTCCCACCCCCCCTAACACACACCCTGTCCCACCCCCTAACACACACCCTGTCCCACCCCCCCTATCACACACCCTGTCCCACCCCCCCTAACACACACCCTGTCCCACCCCCCCTAACACACACCCTGTTCTCCCCCCTAACACACACCCTGTCCCACCCCCTAACACACACCCTGTTCTACCCCCTAACACACACCCTGTCCCACCCCCCCTAACACACACCCTGTCCCACCCCCTAACACACACCCTGTTCTACCCCCTAACACACACCCTGTCCCACCCCCCCTAACACACACCCTGTTCTACCCCCTAACACACACCCTGTCCCACCCCCCCTAACACACACCCTGTCCCACCCCCCCTAACACACACCCTGTTCTACCCCCTAACACACACCCTGTCCCACCCCCCCTAACACTCACCCTGTCCCACCCCCCCTAACACACACCCTGTCTCACCCCCCCTAACACTCACCCTGTCCTACCCCCCCTACCACACACCCTGTCCCACCCCCCCTAACACACACCCTGTCCCACCCCCTAACACACACCCTGTCCCACCCCCTAACACACACCCTGTCCCACCCCCTAACACACACCCTGTCCCACCCCCCCCTAACACTCACCCTGTCCCACCCCCCCTAACACACACCCTGTCCCACCCCCCCTAACACACACCCTGTTCTACCCCCTAACACACACCCTGTCCCACCCCCCTAACACACACCCTGTTCTACCCCCTAACACACACCCTGTCCCACCCCCCCTAACACACACCCTGTCCCACCCCCTAACACTCACCCTGTCCTACCCCCCCTACCACACACCCTGTCCCACCCCCTAACACACACCCTGTCCCACCCCCTAACACACACCCTGTCCCACCCCCCCCTAACACTCACCCTGTCCCACCCCCCCTAACACACACCCTGTCCCACCCCCCCTAACACACGCGATTGCTTTCTCCCGCCAGGCAACCTCCCTCTGACTGTCGGAGTACACGGTGACGGTGGGCGCCACGGGCGGCCGCGTCATCTCCAAGCACGACCTGGCTCACTTCTTTGTGCGCTGCCTCTCCTCCGACGAGTACGTGGGCAAGGCCGTGAGCCTGTCTCACACCTACGCGCCCGCGTAAGAGCCGCCCTCCGCCCCGGACCAGGTCCGGCCCAGACCAGCCGGCTCAACGCATTACAGCCAACACAGCCACGACGGTCATCTTTACAAGCCAGCTCAGGCTGCTGTGCCCACCCAACACACATGGTCCGGTTAAATTCCCCACCGCCTATCACTGACCCAGGCCACCCAGTAGTTCGAATAGCCTCGTCAGCTGTACAAGCTGATGCAGGCCACCACATCCCGAACAAGCCCACCTCACGACATCACTCTCAGGCTGGCCAGCCCACCCCAACCCAACTCGCTCTATCAGTCCAACCAGGTCATGTCCACTGCTGGATGAGGGCCTCCTCATGCCATCAGCCCAATGTAGCCCACTCGGCCCAACTTGCTTGCTCAACCTAAACCGACCAAGCCTTGTCTGGTCAGCATATGCGATGGTTGTTCAACTATCGCAGCCAGCCCAGTTGGCGAGGACGCCTCAATCAGGCCATCTATGTGACCCAGTCCGTCCTTAGCTGCCTGTCTAGCCAGGGGAACACTTCTCTAAAAGGCACCAACTTTAGTTGAAGCGAATTATTTGGTGATGCTGCTGCATTCGGCATTGGTGTACAAGTGCAAATAGCAAACACAAAAAAACGAAACGCATTCGTCAATAACACTGTGCCCTTGGAACGAAAAAAGTATTTTTAAAATATACAATTTGGCGACGTTTGCAGGCAATGGCCCATCTTCGTCGCTAATTTACTTTCATATCACTTGTTAATGGATGCTGTGCCCTGGTGTAATGGTGAGCACACACTGGTCTTGTAATCCAGAGGGCGCCAGTTAGATTCCATCTCCCGGTGCGACATTTACATCTCCCCCACCCCCGTCCCTGCCCCTGTCCACCCGGCAGTATACAAGGGCTCACCACGCTTAGGCCTCGCGTGGCGGAGTAAAATCTGGTTTGCTACCACCGCTTCCAAGGCGTCTGACTCGTGTGGAAGAGAAGACCAAATACCCCATATAGGGGGCTCACTCGAGCTCCCCTTGATGGAGGCTGTACCGCCAACGGGTCGCGCGGACGTGCCATTGCAGGGCTGCAGCTTTATCGTACGTAGATTGGTGAAACAAATGGAAATGAGGCTCTCTTGGACAAACATTTCAATTTCGTATTATTACTGCTACAATTTCCACAGAAGCCGTATTCTGTACGTGCTTATTCTGTACGCGCTTATGAGTAAAATCAATCATCTTGTTCCTCTTATCAAATTCATGCCACGGTCTATTCAATCGCCTTTCCCCTCTCTTGAGATGGAGGGAGCTCACTCTCCGTGCACGCAGTGCGTGGGGTGCTTGGGCCCTTCCTGTCCCCGTGTTGCTTGCCCCACGGCGTCTCCAGCGATTGCCAATAAACCTTCGTGCACAGTTGCCTGGCTTCGTCTCAGCGTTGCTCCTTTATCGCGAGGGGAGATGCGTCGGTGGCGTTTTCCATCGTTGCTGCTAAGCAAGTGCCTATTATTCTTGTTTCTTTCGGTAAAGTCACGTAGAAGGAAAATAATAAAATAATACAAATATAAAACAATAAAAATCTCACGACGTTTCGACTGCAACACAAGCAATCGTCATCAGGTGTGAAATCAAGTCATGGAGAAGGGAAATAAAATAAAAAATTTAAAACTTAAAAACAATTAAAATTCTCGCGACGTTTCGACTGCAATACAAGCAATCGTCATCAGGTGTGAAATCAAGTCAGGGAAAAGGAAAATAATAAAATAATAAAAAATTTTAATAATACATTCTCACGACGTTTCGACTGCAACACAAGCAATCGTCATCAGGTGTGAAATCAAGTCACGTAGAAGGGAAATAATAAAATAACACAAATATTAATACAAATTCTCACGACGTTTCGACTGCAACACAAGCAATCATCATCAGGTGTGAAATCCACAGCAAGAAAATTTTCAAAACGTCGTGAGAATTTTTCTTGTTTTATATTTGTTTTATTTTATTATTTCCCTTCTACGTGACTTTACCGAAAGAACCAAGAATATGAATCCCTGCAGTCACGAAAGCTTTAAATCAAAATTCAAGTGCTTATTGTGAAAAAAAAATGCGTGTCCCTGTACCTTTGCTGTGACGCGGATCGTGAACAGTGACAAAGAAAATTGAGCGAAAACTGAAAGGTGCACAGTAGAAGCATGGAGAGATGCACTCCCAGAATTACATGCGGACAGCAAGAGGAACACTTGGATTAGAGGATATACGGTGGTGGATGTTATCTGTCTCGCCTGGTATGCAGGAGGTCGTGGATTCCATCCCGACCCTGATGCCTGCTGCTGTATATTTGGAGTTTGTGGTGTCTCTCTTCCTGTGGTGGCGTGGATTTTTCTCCGGGTCCTCCGGTTTTCCCTCCACATTTAGAATCAACATCACACATTTAGAGTATTTGGGCTGCTATAGATTTGCCACGCGATGATAAGCCACTTCGTTGAGCTATCATTTGCTCAAAGAAAATTCATAAAAGTAAAATAGAAATAAAATAATAAATCACGACGTTTCGAAGGCATCACAAGTCTCCGTCATCAAGTGGGACCGTCACAGCTAAATTTACAGTCCTACCTGATGACGGAGACTTGTGTTGCCTCCGAAACGTCGTGATTTATTATTTTATTTCTATTATTACTTTTATGAATTTTCTTTTTAAATCCTTTATATTAAGTTCGCTTGCTTGCTTGCGTGCTTGCTTAGGACCGTGCAAATATTTCGCTCGTTTTTTAACCCACTTCCCGTGATCCAATCAAGCTGACATTTTGCACACAGACTCGTTGTGCTAAACAATTAATGTTCGTGAAAAAAAATTCCCAAAATTTTACACTGTTTAGGGAAAACAAATTAAATATTTAATTACCAATTGCTTAATACTGGCAGACAATCATCTGACCCATAGGTGGCAGCCATCTCAAGCCAGAGGACGAGAGGACTCTAGCCGCCACGCATATAAAGGATTTATAGTGAAAAACTTTGTTTTTACGGGTTTACTTGTTTTTACCTACGTGACTTTACCGAAAAAAACCTAAGAGCATGAATCCTTGCAGTCACGAAAGCTTCAAATCTAGAACAAGAGGAATATGTCAACTGCGGAGATGGAGTGACGAAATCAATTCGCGAGCAGGCGCAAGCGGGGGATTTACACATCGGAATCTCGATTTAGACTGGAGGATCCATAATAGAGTTTTTGTTTGGTTTCGATCGCGTAAATATCTAAATGTGTCGTTAAACCCGCCACCACCCGACACAGCCAATTAGTAAGGTTTGGCACGTAAACAGAACGTGCCAATTCGTTACTCGTACAGCACACCGGTGTGTTGGAGATTAAAGGGGCCGTCCATAAATGACGTCACGCACCTGGGGGGGGGGGGGGTCAGACATTTGTGATGATGTGTGACGACGGGGGGGGGGGGGTGAGAAATGTGACGTCACATAAAAATGCGCAACTTTTAATAAATACAGACAACACGTTCTGCTTAATTAAATTGACTTTTTAATAAATGTTTTCTCCTACAACATCAGAGTGCAGCGCCACATTAAACACGCACTACAATGACAATAGTTTAAAGCGATTTGAAGCAAGTTTTATTTATTTTGGGGGGGGGGGCAGAGCTTTGTGACGTCATATTTGAGGAGGGGTTTGACTTTTTGTGACGCCGTGTGACGAGGGGGGGGGGGTCAAAAACCGTCCAAAATCGCGTGACGTCTATATATGGACGGCCCCAAACCCACAACATTTTCACTGTGACGTTTCGACGGCAATTACAAGCAGCATCCATCGGACCATAGACTTGAGGAATCCGATAATCTATGAAGCTCTTGTTTACAGATGTCCAGTCGTGGTGACATGTCAAGTAAGGGGACATCGCAGGACCCCGAGAGATGACGCCGGCCTGGGGAAGCCTCCATCCAGCAGTGGATCGATCATCTCTCACAGATCCATTGGGCCGGGGGGAAGCGATTTCGCCCCCCCACCGAAAAATGTTGACACTCCGACTGATGCTCCTGCTGTTGTGAAGTGACTCATGCAGCCAGCTATGGCTGCATAGTTTGGTAGTACATGTTGTTTATGTCGTTTATTGTGAAAATTCGGTCACAGTTCCTATGATCGCTGTTTCATTGCTTTTATGGCTTTATTTTGGTGATTTTCGAAAAGTTTTTTGGTTTGGCCATGTTTGTTTGTTGTAGTACAGAGTTAGACTGATGGCCTTAATCTAAGTTGTCTTGTGGTTGTTGTTGTTGTTTGACTTGCATCCCACTGGGATTTTTACACACAGTGTTGGTGTACGGTGATTTTTCTGCAATATTTTGAAGTCCTTTCTTGGATTTTCTGTTTGCACATACAGTAGTCACTTTAAGATGTTTTCTTGTTCATGTTTTTGTTTTTGTTGCGGTTGCACCCGATTCAAGAGCCGAATGGCTCACAGGGCTATACCTAATACATGAAACTTAAAACTTGAAACTCTTGGACCCCCATTGCCTCCACTGCTGGATGAAGGCCTCCCCATGCCATGGTGGTTCCGGGTATCCCTCGCCACTGATGTTAGCCGTCGCCGGGGATCGAACTCGGTGTGCTAACCACTGCGCCACCGCTCCCACCGCTCCCCATTCATTTTTTTGAAGGCTGGATAGCTCATAAATATTAATTAATCATGGATTTTCAGAGCTCATGAATATTTATTTATACAAATACATTCCGTCTCCTCATTGGTTGGAGCCCCGTGCGCCTCGCGTCCAATTGAGCGCGCCTGGCAACGCGCCTCGACCAATGGGAAGCCCGCTAGGGCATCGGTAGCTCCGCCCAGCCACGCAAGCCCCTCCCACTTGCCGCCGGGTCTACACATCATAGACGACGTTTCGGGGCAGTGGCCCCTTCGTCATAGGGAAATTGGGTCCGATTGTATAGAGTGGTTCAGAGGGTTTAATCACCAAACGGTTTCTTAACCCCCTCTTAGCTCTCTCTGACCTCTCTTACGTGCTATTGCCAAAACGTCGCTTATTTAATATTTTTATTTTTTATGTTACTAGCCCCCCCCAATCTCCCACTAGCCCCCCCCAACTCCCACTAGCCCCCCCCCCCCAACTCCCACTAGCCCCCCCCCCAACTCACACTAGCCCCTCCCCCCCCAACTCACACTAGCCCCTCCCCCAACTCTCACTAGCCCCCCCCCAACTCTCACTAGCCCCCCCCCAAAACTCCCACTACCCCCCCCATATCCCACTAGCCCCCCCCCAACTCACACTAGCCCCCCCCCCCCCACTTTTCCTCCTGATATCCCACTTGCCCCCCCATCCCACCAGCCCCCCCCCCATCCCACGTAGCCCCGCCCTCCACCAACAAGCCCCGCCCACAACCCCATCAACCCACGTAGCCCCGCCCTCCACCAACAAGCCCCGCCCACAATCCCATCAACCCACGTAGCCCCGCCCTCCACCAACAAGCCCCGCCCACAATCCCATCAACCCACGTAGCCCCGCCCTCCACCAACAAGCCCCGCCCACAATCCCATCAACCCACGTAGCCCCGCCCTCCACCAACAAGCCCCGCCCACAATTCCATCAACCCACGTAGCCCCGCCCTCCACCAACAAGCCCCGCCCTCCACCAACAAGCCCCGCCCACAATCCCATCAACCCACGTAGCCCCGCCCTCCACCAACAAGCCCCGCCCACAATCCCACCACCCCCACTCCACCCACAGCTCCACCGCGTCGGCCGCTTCGTTCGCGTTGGACGCGCGACACGTCGAGGGAGATAAAAGGCGGGAGACGATGGCGAGCGAGCGATAAGGAATGGGGAGATAGGAGAAGAGAAGAGAGATACACATTTAAAGGCAACCGAAGATTAAAGGTCACAACCGCTGAGGACAGAGGAAGGCGGGCAGCAGGCCGGCTCGGAGCGGGTCGTTGTTGGGCCGTGAGGAGAACGAGTTGAGATTTGAGGAGAGATCACAAGAAGTTATTCTTCTTCTTACCCGGAGTCAGTCGAACTCGGTGGGAACTTTCACCCTCAGCTCTGCGGCTCGGTGAGTTGTGAGTGAGTGATCTGATGATGATGATGATGTGGCTGAGCGTGGTTTGTATTGTTGAGGTGAAGTACACACACTCTGTGTGTGTGTGTGTGTACCACAGTCAATCTACTTTGTTAAACTCGGGACGCAAGTTTTCGCGGAACGTTGTTGGCCCAACGTTGAGGTAACGTTGGGCACGAACTTTCGACCACGTACCAACGTCGACCCAACGTTGTTGGCATGTTCGCTGGGTTGGTTTAACTTTTTCGTTGTAGAATAAAGCCTGCGGATGTCAACGTCGCCAGTAACAGCAGTTTTAACCACATTGTGGAACCTTCATCGTTCGAGAGACGACCTATTATAACTCCTTGGTTCTTTCGGTAAGGTCACTTAGTTAGAAATAAAACAACTAAGTGACTATACCGAAAGAACCAAAGAGTAATGGATCCCTGCAGGTCACGAAAGCTTCAAATCAAGATTAGATCTATTATCGTTAATTACTAATCGATTTTTGGTGTCTTCCTCGGTACGATGCAGGTAAATGGCATGTCAAGGACCCCCGTTTAAGACACAAACTCTGTTCTTCCTGCCACACATGTGTTTAAACTTTAAACTTTAAACGAGATGAACAAGAGGAACTTGCCATGGCAAGGTGGTGCTCGTCGATGAATTAGAAGGCTGAGGGAGGTCGCGAGTTGGAACAGAAAGCGCTTTTTAGCTTATCGGATTTCTCCAGTATACAGACACAATCCACATTAAATTTTGATTTAAAGCTTTCGTGACTGCAGGGATTCATATTCTTGGTTCTTTCGGTAAAGTCACGTAGAAGGGAAATAATAAAATAATACAGATATTAAACAATACAAATTCTCACGACGTTTCGACTGCAACACAAGCAATCATCATCAGGTGTGAAATCAAGTCACGTAGAAGGGAAATAATAAAATAACACAAATATTAAACAATACAAATTCTCACGACGTTTCGACTGCAACACAAGCAATCATCATCAGGTGTGAAATCCACAGCAAGAAATGTTTTTCTTTCAAATGTTCTTGCTGTGGATTTAACACCTGATGATAATTGTTTGTGTTGCAGTCGAAACGTCGTGATAATTTGTATTGTTTAATATTTGTATTATTTTATTATTTCCCTTTACGTGACTTTACCGAAAGAACCAAGAATAACAATCCCTATTCTTGAGTTAAATTTCCACCTCCATCCATCGCTTCGAATTAGTTCTACGATTTAAAAAAAGTGTGGGTAACGCACACTACAACTATGTACACGTTAAACTATGTTTGTTTTATCACGTGTAAGGCCCCACTGAGCTGCCTGTCACAAATGATATTTTAACGAAGTGGCTTATCATCATCACCGTGGTGTGGGAAATATATAGCAGAGAGACAAATACTCGAAAAGTCGCGATTTCTAAATGTGGAGGGAAAACCCGGAGGAAAGAGAGACTGAAAACTCAAAATCTACAGCAGCAGGCGCCAGGGTCGAACCCACGACCTCATGTATACCTAGCGAGGTAGTTAACATCTCACCACGGAGAGAGAGAGAGAACACGCAAACTCCAAATATATAGCAGGCGTCAGGGTCACGATCCAACCCACGACCTGTATACCTGGCGAGGTAGTTAACATCTCACTACGGAGACAGCGAGAGAACACGCAAACTCCAAATATACAACAGCAGGCGTCAGGGTCAGGATCGAACCCACGACCTCCTGTATACCTGGCGAGGTAGTTAACATCTCACTACGGAGACAGCGAGAGAACACGCAAACTCCAAATATACAACAGCAGGCGTCAGGGTCAGGATCGAACCCACGACCTCCTGTATACCTGGCGAGGTAGTTAACATCTCACCACGGAGACAGCGAGAGAACACACAAACTCCAAATATACAACAGCAGGCGTCGGGGTCACGATCGAACCCACGACCTCCTGTATACCTGGCGAGGTAGTTAACATCTCACTACGGACACAGCGAGAGAACACGCAAACTCCAAATATACAGCAGCAGGCGTCAGGGTCAGGATCGAACCCACGACCTCCTGTATACCTGGCGAGGTAGTTAACATCTCACCACGCAGAGAGAGAGAACACGCAAACTCCAAATATACAGCAGCAGGCGTCAGGGTCACGATCGAACCCACGACCTCCTGTATACCTGGCGAGGTAGTTAACATCTCACCACGGATAGAGAGAGAACACGCAAACTACAAATATACAACAGCAGGCGTCGGGGTCAGGATCGAACCCACGACCTCCTGTATACCTGGCGAGGTAGTTAACATCTCACCACGGATAGAGAGAGAACACGCAAACTACAAATATACAACAGCAGGCGTCGGGGTCAGGATCGAACCCACGACCTCCTGTATACCTGGCGAGGTAGTTAACATCTCACCACGGAGACAGCGAGAGAACACGCAAACTCCAAATATACAACAGCAGGCGTCGGGGTCACGATCGAACCCACGACCTCCTGTATACCTGGCGAGGTAGTTAACATCTCACCACGGAGACAGCGAGAGAACACGCAAACTCCAAATATACAACAGCAGGAGTCGGGGTCAGGATCGAACCCACGACCTCCTGTATACCTGGCTCTGATTGAGCAATTGCAGAGCTTCGCCTTTGCTGTTTGAACTTGAGAAACGAGGGCAAAAATGCAACCTTACGCGGTGACTTATGAACCCGCCGTGCCGTTTGTACGTTTTTACTAATTAGCGCATTCGTTACTGCTGGAATCGGTTATCGGTTTAACCTTCTACATGGCTGCGGTACGCACCGCGGCTGGGAATCGAACTTGGGATCCGCGCGGTTCGTAGGCCAGTGCGGAAGCAAAGTATGTGCCCCCAGCAATCAACTGGGGGGGGGGGGGATTCCTTCATCCAGCAGTGGATTGACCAAGGATTTGTGACCCGGAACGATGCTGGCTAGGCTGGCTTTCGAGTCGAGGTTATCGGCGTAAGGCACTACCACTAGAGTACAACGGACGCCTGTCTGATCACAAGCCTACATTGTTGTGACCTGCATTCCTGTAGTCGTGTAAACGGGTGCATAGAAATAGAGTGGTACCCCGGAGATCGAACTTAATTCGTTCAGAAGGCCATTCGAACACCAAATTAATTTTCCCCATGAGAATGAATGTAAATGACATTAATTGGTTACAGACACAAGACTTCTCTCATTATAAAGCATCTTTACACGAAGTTTACAGTAAATACAATACCACCGAAGCCCCGCCTACCACCTCCCGTCCAGCGGCACCCGCAGGAACATTAGTGTACACGGCACCTTTACTCCCACCCAACAATGTAAATGTTATCCGATTAGTCGAGAGAGTGACTGGAACCGATGGTCGGTATAGCGATCGGTTTTCCTCTAAGTTCGGTCAAACGACCACCGCGAAACAGCACAGTATGAGGAGGCCTTGACGGAGCGAGCTGGTTTACTCGAGGGGCTGTGGTCTCTCTCGCACACACGCACAGAGCTTGCAGATTGTCAGATGCACTCCCAACTATTGCAAAAGAAAACAGGGAAACTTAGTGCGTCTTGTAATCGGGATAATTGTGGTAACATGTGCAATAGAGTGCAGTACTTATTTACATCTGCAGAAAATAGAGGTAAAGACCCAAAAGGCTGTTGCCGGGAAGAGACACTCAGGGCAGAACTGTGGTGGGCACGTGCCGATGCTCTGAGAAATCTGGCAGATGGAAGGAAGTGATGGCGAGGTGCGGTGGCGTCAACGCCTCTGGTCGCGGCGACCTCGTGAACTTTTGACCGTAACAAGAATGTTAAATGTTACTTTCACTTTTTTCTCCTTGTTGCTCAACTGCCACGAATTTCTTTGGCAAACGAAGAATAAATGTTTTCTCTCTTACCGGACGAGATCTTGCAGGCCCGTCGATCCACTGCTAAAATCACAGAAGGGCTTCTCTCCCCCGCCCCACTGCACGCAGAGCCGGTAGTGGAGGGCGATTTGACCATACTTCACCAAGCTGGTTATGGCAGTTTGGAGGGTGTAAGATGGAAGTGATGGCGGGGTGCGGTGGTGTCAACGCCTCTGTTCACGGTGACCTCGTGAACTTTAGACTGTAGCAAGAAAGTAAAATGTTACTTTCACTTTTTTTTTGCTCGATCGGAACACTCCGACCACATTGATGGAGGCAGCGCTGATTGTCGCTGCCCACTTGGCGTTTCGGGCCTTTTTACGCCCTGTGATCGGTGAACTAAAATTGTACAGAGGTGAACTCTCGTGAACTTTGCATGCTGGTTGCCCATTCCAGGACTATGCGGGCTCAGACCTAAAACTCAGCTATTTTTGTATTACCAGGTAAGGCTCTCTGAGCTATGTAGCTCTTTTTCAGAAGCGACCTGGTTATCACAAATGATAGCCCAACGAAGTGGCTTATCACGTGAAAATGTATCACAGCCAAATTCTCTGAACACGTGATGTTAATTCTAAATGTGGAGGGGAAAACCAGAGGACCCGGAGAAAAATCCACGCGACCGCTGGGAGAGAGAGAGAGAGAGACATAGCAAACTCCAACTATACAGCAGCAGGCGTCAGGGTCGGGCTCGAACCCACGACCTCCTGCATACTAGGCGAAGGAGTTAACATCTCCTAGCCACCTGCTTGACTTGTGCGGTCTGACGAGATGGGGGCGCATTCCGTGTGATTGGATCACAGGTTAGGTGAGTTTATAATCTACCGCAGTAAAAATGCAGGAAGGTAATGAGTCACCCACACAGCCAGCGACGTGATAAATTGCTTTCGCGAATATATTTGTCTCGTTTTTACCAACTCATTGTTGCCGTTTCTAGTTTATTTTTGTCTTAATTTGTATGGTTTTCTTTACATCATTCTGCTTTCTCACATGTACTCTACTTCCCCAGTAAACATGGCCCAACGAATCCAACCTCGCAAACTGGTGGCCCAGTGTTGGCATGTTTACCGGGCTGGCTCTCAATCCACTGCTGGAGGAGGGCCTCTCTGTC